ATTTAAGGGGTTACTTCCAGTTGGAGGCAGCCCTGTTCAAACGTTAATTCCAGCTCATTTGTCAGTGGCGTCGTCCGTCTTCTTTGCAGGGATTTTACCTTTTCCTCCGTTAACAAGTAAGAAGCATCAGCCAATGAGACTTGGGAATTAAAAAATGTTGAGTTTAACTTCCTCTTCCTCTTCTTGCTTCTTAAATTTGATCCTTTCTTTCCTTCCTTCCTGCTATTTTGAGTTTAACTATGTAATTTTTAACCTGTTCTCCCTCTGAGGGTCTAAATGTTACGTGGTGGAGAAACTTTAGTGGAAAAAGGAAATATGCTCCTGGGTGGTTGCAACTACTTGATATACATTTTGTACGCTTGCTTTGTTGAATTTAGCAAGAAATCAAGGCACTCGGCATTATGATTCCGAAATTCACCAACTTTTTTGTGTTTGCCATTTCCTCCCTAATGAACATGAGGTCCTTTCCTTCTTTAATAATGGATCCGTTTGAATAAATTGATATAATTTTAATTTTAGTAGAGATATAATTTTGTTTGTCCCCTTTTTCCCTGATAAAAAACCGAGTCAAATATGGAATATTGAATTCTGACTCATATCCTATTCTAATCCATTTAAATGAATTAATAGTTATAAAATATACATATTAATAATTATAATAAATATTAATATATAATTTTGGGTACGGGATATACCCGATTGGATCCAAATTCGAGAGATCGAGTGTAAGACTAGTCAAATATACGGGTCGAATTCATAACAAGTATAATAAATGAGTCCGGATCCAAAATATTCAATTCCAACACGAACACGACCATTTTGATAAGTCTAGGATTGCATTTAGGTGTTTGGAAAAATTGAAAAACTTTTTTTTTTTTGCCTTATATGGATGGGGAAAGGAAGAGAAGAGAGAGAGAAAGGAAAAAGAGAGAGAGAGAGAGAAAAAAAAAAACAAAGAGAATGAGAGGTGGTGGTTGATGATGGTTTAAGATGAGGTGGCAATGGTAGAAATGAAAATAGCTAGGTGGCATGGTGGTAGAAAAAGATAAATGAATGTATATTTTTTAATATGTTGACGCGTGTATTCTAAAAATTTTATGATGTTTTATAGCATATGCTTGTAGACAATGCTGTCAAAAATCTTATATTATATAAGAATGAGTTTTGATCAAAATGAGATTTTGAATTTTAACCGCATAAGTGAGGGCACTTTGGAAATGTGGGATTATTTGGAGCGAAGGTTCAGTTTTAGGTACAAGATTGGGTAGCATTAGCTTTGTTGTTGTTTCGTAAATACCCTTACATTATTTTTAGCTTATAGGCATTTTTAGCAAGAGGTCTCGGGTTCGAGTCCTCCCACTTACATTTAAAAAAAAATGATAAAAAATAAAATAAAAATATGTGAGCATACTTTAATCGTCTTTTCAGCAGTGAGTACATGTGATATGAACCTTATTTTTTGTGTGTTTCCTTAAATGCCCATTAAAGGCCTTAAAAATGGTTGAAAAGCAGGAGGCTCTAATAGTTGTTAAAGTGGTTTTTAATGTTTGAGCAATTGGTTTCAGCCATTTCTAAACCCCGTCCGAATGTATTTTCTTCCATTTCTTTCCGTTATGCTCTTTTTGCCTTCAATGCTTATATTTGCTGTGGTTATTCCTTGCATTTTGAAATTGTTATTGGGTCCAACTATTCTTGGTGGTTCAGTTTAATGTGTGTTTGCTTATTGGTTTGTTTTCCGTGTTTTTTACAACTGAGCAAAAGAATTTACACATACTAATGGTTCTTGTTGTCCATTGGAATTGAATTGAATTGGGTGGCAAGAACAATAGTTAGCGCTGAATTGAATTGGTTTGTTTTTGGTTAGTTACCTATCAACAAGGATGAATTGGTACGATTGGCCAATTGACTCTTCGATAAAAGGAAACTAATTCTTCAATTCTGACCACCCCAATTCGCTAATGAGTTTAATAATTTGAATTTATCTTTGGTTAACTATGCTAAGTATTCTCTCAGTAGAAAAGCACTTTACTTATTCACAATCCTAGCTACCTAATTGGACAACCAAATAATGTCTTAGCTTATCTTGTTTTTTTTTTTTCCTTTTGGGGAAAGTTTTGGGAGAGTATGTTATACGTATGCATAAGGATTCCATGGATTTACTTATTGTTTGTTAGAAATTTGTTTACTTTGTATAATTTGAATAATAGGATTTTGTTTTAACAAATTTGGAGAAAGTGTCAGAAAACAGTTTATTGGGTGTCTTTAGAATAAGGTACGCAGCTATTGACAACTATTGATTGTGAGAAATTGGTTTGATTTATATGTCCTTAATTCTGAAATTGAGATTTTGCATGATAAGAAAGATTATTTATTTTTTTTATTTTTTAAAGTTGAGTTTGTTGTCGAACATGCAACAACGGTAGACAATTAACAACTCTACACCCATCCAAGAATTGCAAGAAGTTGAAAGACCATTCATTACAACTGTTTTCGTTTACTAATATAGAATTGCACTAACAAAAAATTTATATTCTCATATTCTTTTTTCACTTAGAGTATCCCAACCCTTAGACCATATTAATCTCCTAAGGTTGTGTAGAATTTTGTCCCAATGATACATAACAAGGTAGTACACGGGATCGATTACGAATCTATTGATAACTACTACACTACGAAACCATTCGAACTACCTGTGGAACTTATATCCTTAAATCTAACGGGATGTGCATTTCGTATTCAACCACATATTAGACAAGCAATACTTGTCGATCAAAGGTTAAACTATCACCTACATAATTTAAAAAAAAAATAACTATACAAATGTATTTTCACGAATGACTACACTAATAGATGCTTACCATTTATACTAACTCTCTAGAGTGAGCAACAATCCAAAGATGCCAATACAATCGCCGAGTTAAATGATATCGACCCTGCCACAGCAATTCCCAAAGGCAAACCACCATCATACCACCGTCAGTATTCCACATTTTAAATACTAAAGTCAATTAAATTAATCTCACATACGTTATGATAATTTAGAAGGCAATCCTCAAACAAAAAATCAAAACATCTGCTACTCAAACTTCTACTGCTCAAGTTTACTTCTATCTTTTGGTCTAGTTTTGTATAATAAAAACACCTTGGGTGTCAAACAGAGCAAATGTCAATAGCAATCAAGTTAATGCTTCCTCTCTGCCATGTGAGAGCTAGAATCAATGCTTCTGTACCAACTACTCCAACTCGAAAGTTCCAAATTTTGTTACACGTTTAATTTTTGAATTGATGAGATGGCGTGACAAAACTTGAATTACATAATTATTGTTATTATTATTATTTTTTGTCTATTATTGTCATCTACACCGACACCTACGCCTACTATAATTTATACTAAGGGGATGACCCAACAGGGTCACGGAAACTGAAGGAAACTGAACCATCATTAGACCATATTGATTTTTTTTTAATTTATTATCACCATCTACATCTATTCATACTCTAACCTATATTAGAGAGCGACTCAACAGGAAATCAACGGAGACTGAATCACTATCGGATTATATGAATGCATTAAACAGTCATATGAATTTTAGAAAAGCTGAATCACTATCGGATTATATGAATGCATTAAACAGTCATATGAATTTTAGAAAAGCTACATTAAATGACAATATTTTGATAGAAGATAAGATTTGAACCCTTAACCTCCACTCATTAGCAGGGCTACATACGCTTCTCTCCCATTTGGCTCTAATCATTAGTAGTACTATATACGCTTTTCTCCCATTTGGCTCATTATGACAAATGCCGCACGGCAGAGGTTGAAACTTGAAGCTCCAGTTTCAAGAAAACCCAACCCTTTGACCTTTGGATGAGAAGGAGCCGGAAAATCAAAGACCTCACAAAAGCTAATATGGAATAGATGATCTTTATTTCACAAAAAAAAAAAAAGAAGACAAAGAACAGACAGAAAAAATCTTTTTCTACACGTAGGATCATTAGTTGAATTGATCTAAATTCAAATCAAACTAAATAGCATTTGCACTTGCTTCACCACTTGCAGTTGGCTGTCTAAAAATCTTAATTTTACACGCATTTAAAAAACAAATTCTTTATTCTGAAAAATTTTATGCTATACAGGTATGATAAGCGTATGAAGAATATCCAAATTTTGGCTAAACGGAGAAATTCTCTAGTCTCTACTGATAGCAATACTGCATAAAATAATACGTTCCCAAAAGCTCGTGCAAACTTGTAACCTTTCCAGCTAGGTTTCGGAAAATGATGATGCATCTTACGATCCCAGGATATACTACTTAAATTAGGGACTTCAGAAAGACAAACCTCCGCGCCGTGTAATCCTTTTGCCAAACAAACAGGAGGCAACGCATGATATAAGGGTTTTTTTTTTTTTTTTGAAGCATAAAAGGAAATCATTCATTCATTTCAAATCTTCAAGAGCAGCGTCAGTAACAATCTCGGGGAAGTTCACAAACCATACTCTACTTCCCTCAAGAGACATCGACATTTTTGTCGGTAACAATCTTGGGGAAGTTCACAAACCATACTCTACTTCCCTCGAGAGACATCGACATTGACATTTTTGACATGATGTGGGCAGGAACATTGTTGGTCCTCCTCACATAACTAACTTTGACAAAATCAAATACAGCCATCATCTACGCTGGATTCCTCCGCGCACTTAACGTGTTCAGGTCGGGTTGGGGCGCTGGGTCCGGACCGCAGGAGATTAGTCGGGCCCCGTAAGAATTGACCCGGACACCCCTGTGTCGACAAAAATAAAAAATAAAAAAATACAGCCAACATTGATCTTATGCCATGAATTAAATTACCTAGCATGATATAAGGGTAGAACAAGGTAATAACATGACAAGAAAATAGTGGAACAAGAAAAAATACAAAAATAGAAGAAAATAGTGGAACAGGAAAAATAAGGAAATGAATAAACAAAAAAGAAATAAAATAGCAAGGATAATTTTGTCTTAAAATATCAAATAAAAAGATAAAGTGCTTATTCAATGAATTCAGGAAGATAAAGTGCAACTAAAGGTAAAATTCAAGGGTACAGTGCATTTAACTCCATACTAGAGTTGCTTCCACAATTGTCCAATTAAAACGAGTGATTTCACCACCTTCCTATACACTTAGAATAATGATGATAATTTAAAAAATATATATATACCACAATAGCATAAGCCTCAAAATTTTAAACACTAGACAACTCCAATATTCTCCAGAACTGGATTCTATCTCTAACACCACCCGATTTGTGTTCACAGCCATCTAGTGCCTCTGAAGTCTGAACCCACAAGTATACAGCAAGAAGGGTAAACATTTTCAGCACACTCTCATCCACCATTACATTAACAAAAGCATCAATTTCGAACCAATCCGGACTGCCGCTGTCGAAGTTTCTCCATTCTTCAGTCAACCATAGTGGGAGATATGTTTTATTTATGAACACTTGTACCAATTTAATCCAGTCTTCTCAGAAGATATTCAATTTGAACTTTCTTTGTCAATGGCATGATCCAGTCCTCGTATAAATCAGCTACTAGAGATGGATTGATTTTGTAAGCTGGATCAGTTCCATTTTCTCCCCCACCTAAAGTCACCTCTTGCCCATAAGTTCTGGTTTTCATCTCTACTCTCTTTTTGATAACCTCTTCCACTTCTGGGTATGTTAACAAAGCCATAAGTCGGGTACTGTCCTGAAAAACCGAGAACAATATATAGCAAGTCAGTGACAGAGAGCATTGCAACAAAAGCATCAAGAAGTTGGGCAGATATGCAGCATGGGTTAAGGAAGTACTTGTGCTTTAATAGCAGCATTATAAACATCTGGTGAGGCCCGATATTTTGCTTCTGCAACAAACTTACCATAATGGATTCTCTTTGACAAGGCCTGCAAAAATACAAACAATTTGCGTCTCAGACATGTACAGGACGAGTGAAGGAAGTATCATTGATCCTTTTCTCTTCCCCTTACTACAGCCTTTGTCCTCAACTTGTTGCTGCTTCAAAAGGATATGTGAGGTCTTTTTGTGGTTTTCCTTTTCTGGGGCCGGGGCGAGGGGGGCGGGGAGCGGGGGGCTAGACTGTCCATAAGGATCAAGCCTGTTCCCAAGAGATGCTATAATATATAGGGGTGAGACAATATTCTATGTGCAATGCCTTGAAAACATAGCCCGTTATTCAAGAAACTTCTCACTGGAAGAACGTGATTAGCATGAACAGAAAGTCATAACCTTTGCAAAGGACATCTCGCATAATTTTAAGCTTAATGCACACTCAGCTTTCAAGTGAACAACATGCAAAGACAGCAAACTGAATGACATCGAGTTCCTTTAAAAGCAATAGTTTTGACAATAACCTCCATTTTTTTAAAAAGAGATTGGTAAAATTTTTCTAAATAACAAAGTTTGAATTGAACCACATCAACACATTTAAGTGGCGTGAATTACAAGTCTTTTTGTCTAATCGAGATTCAAACATATGTTCCAGATCTAGGGTCATAAACTTGCCGATAGACAATCTTTGCCAACTTTTTGTGACTTCTTCCACTTTTAGTGCATGGAAAAAGATAATGGAAAAAACAATGAGCTCAAATCAACATAGTACACTAGCCAATATTTTGTTTCCCATTCCAATTCCATAAAACAGAAACTAGTTTCAGGAAGACAGATTGGTACCTGCAAGCAAATTGTGTCACAAACGGCTGCTGATCCATAATTACTATCGTCACCTTCTTTAACTAATCTAGGAAGAAGATTTCTGAAATACATGTCCCATATCTTGAGATTGATATTAATCGAATTAGCAGCAGGATGCAAAACCTATATGAACATCAAAAGACATCTTGCACCATAAGTTAGGGCTAGACAATTTATTTAAAAAAAAAAAACTTGAATCAGCAAATACCAGAGATGTGGAGAAGTTCAACCAAGAAAGACGGGGATAAACAAGTATACTTATATTTCTACTAACTAGCAGCAGCATCTTTGCACCCTAGCATATACATAGATGGCAAAATTTCTTCTTTCACAAGTGTAGACTCTATATTAGCTTTCCACTCCAAATAATAATGAATTGACAACTAGCAAGGATACATAACCAGGATCAGTGAAATTAACCTATTTCCATCTCCATATGGCAATGAAAATCGTACCTGTGGGTACAGCAAAGGCGGCAACAGTGGGTTAGGTAAATCATCTGGGAAGAAAGGATGCTCATCGGGGCTCTTATATCTCCCAACCTGATTAAAACAGATTGTTGTACACATATGTAAAAGATTTTTACATACCCAAAAAAAAAAAAAAATCTCATTTTGGTCCATGTTATTTTGGAGATTCAAGTATGGTCATACATACACTAGCATGAAGCTTTTCAGTTTCTTTGACAATGTACTCAACCAAAGAACCTCTGAATCCATCCATGGCAAAAGCATCAGCATTATATGTCTGTTTATTGAAACAGAACTGAGCCCTCTCCAAAAGGTTGAAAATTATGCTATCCTCCTGTCGAATCAAATTACTCCTTATACCCTCAAGGGTATATATTTTAGTCTCATCAACCCTATTTTTCCTTGGCAATCTGAGACACAGGAGGAGTTGACAATAGACAAAAGTAATAATAGTATTAGGAGCTGGGTGCAGAAACCACTTGCATATGTCACTAGACCTTTAAACCCAAATGTCGGCTACCAACAGAATTTAAACACAAACACTACAACCTACTTCTTTTCCTTCCCTTTCCCACCAAACAGCCCCCCTCCCCTTCTCTGTTTTCAGAAAAAGCGCTTGCATCCTGACAGAAAATAATTGAAAAGAAAGAGACCAGGAAGGAAAAGAGAAGGCAATGGACAACTGAAGCAATCTCAACAAACACCCAAACATTTTATAAAACCATTAAGGTTTGGCTACAGCACGTATACTAGGCAGGTACAGGCACAGAATATTGATATATATAGTTAATGAACTTGTAGACCTGTGAGCAATCATAGACATGACCCACCTACCAGATGAGTTCGCAAACTTTTCAGTAGACCAATTCTTGTTTGGAAATAGTTTAGAGAAATTAATTTTTAAGATAAGTCAAGCTTTGGAGACCACCGTACAACCGATAACTAGTTTGTCCCAAAAAAAAAAAAAAAGACAAAAAAGTAAATGAGGTGATTGGATAAACAAACTAAAGACTAATTTATTATCCTTCTGCTCTGAGTGAGCTTTACAAGTACAAATTCAGAATAATGAAAGGGCAAAAAATTAAAGCTATAATTGTTATTAGAGAAATAAAAAAAAAGGACCCGAAAAACTAACAGAAGAGGAACACTACAGAAGATACGAATAGGCTCGCCTACACCTATTTATTGGAATATGCTTTCCACACTGCAAAACAAGGAACTACACTCAAACAAGTAAAGGTTATACAGAACGGCATGAACGGAAATCCAAACCATAAGCCAGCCTAGGTTGCTTTGTGATCACAGTCCCTATCACAGATCAAAGGATGAAATTTCAAAACATTCAGTAAAGTATCCACGATGCAACCAATCAGCAGCTTCACTCAGTACATTCAACAACCAACCGCCCAAATATCCCTCCACTTTAACCAGAAACAAAACCCACCTAACGCCATCCATCAAAAACCTCAAACAATAAAAAATCACTATAAATGGCAAAACAAATAAAAAAAAAACCGCAATCAACTCGTCCAAGGTGCACTAAAAAGCAATCTGGATTTTCTAGAAAGGCAAAAGATAAAGATAGCAACTTGATACCCGATAGTAGTTTCAATTGCTTCAGTGGAGTGAATGCCATGCTTCGGAGCAGCGCAGGTGACAATTTTGAAAAAGCCGTTGGAATTCCATCGATGGGTTGGAGGGGGGAAAAGGGAAATGGGTTTTGAGGAATCCGAAGGAGGAAGAAGAAGAGTCAGTGAAGCAGAGGCTGAAGCCACTGTAAACAGCTGGGCCTCCATTTTCCACCAAAAAAGAAAATACTTGACCAGAAAACCAATAGGAGAGGCAACATATAAAAAGCTAAGAGGGGTATTATTAATGTACACCAAAGTTAGGTTTGGGACAGAAGCTCTGCTGCTGAAAATTCCACGAAGCAGAAAAAGAGAAAGAGGAAAGAGGGACCCGCTCCACGGTGGCCACTTGGAGCCAAGTTCCAGTTTGACGAAGGACTCAAGAAATAGTGGACACAAAGCTTTGGAGCATTGAGAGGGGAGTAGGTAGGTTTGTAAAAAGAGAGGGTCTCTCCGCGTCTAGATTTGTAAAAATTGATATAAGTCTTTGGGTTTCGAAAGACAAAAGAGAGGGGAGTAGGTAGGTGATGGGAAAAAGCAATAGCCTCCGCTGCTGTTAAGAGTAGTGTTAGGTGAGGTTTTGTTACTTTTGTACCGGCTTGGTGTCACATTTGATTGGAAATTTGGGAAGACAAAAGTTAGGTATTTGCCTGCTCTGAGGTAGACGGTTGGGTCCGGTGGGGAGAGATTAGAGACTAGGACTATTAACAAATTCAGATTTCAGACCCTTTTTTTTTTTTTTTTTGAACAATCAGATTTCAGACATTTTGAAGTTTAGTACTGGGTAGTATATTATTTAGGGATAATTTCAGAAACCTCCCCTGAGGTTTCTGACACTTTCACTGACATCCCCTGAGGTTCTCAAAATTTCACTTACCTCCCTTGCTTTTGATTTTGTGGTAACAATCCAGTCCAAATCAGATTAAAATATTATTTTCATGTGTGAGAAGGTATTTTTATTCCATAGCTACCCTTTGCAGAAGTTGTATTAGTAGAAGATTCAAAGAAGAATAAATGATTTGGACTAATTAGTAAAGTTGAGGGGGGGTAAGTGCAATACAAAAAATTGCATGCACCAAATGTGCCATGCAACAGTTATTTGGCAGATTTTGCAACGGCTAGCTGCAAATTGCAACGGCCAGAAGGTTTGCTGTTTCAGTAGCAATAGCATATAAAGCAAAGCAACTTAACTACCTCTGAGGTTTCAAGCTATTAACATTCTTTGCTACTAATTTGGAGTGATAACAAGTGCATTTGCTGTGCTACAATTAGAGCTCTGAGTAAAAAGTTTTAGCTGCAACCATGGCCTCTTCAAGCCATAGGGGAGAATCATGGAATTCACCTACATCTTTCTCCATTAAAAACAGGTTTTGCCGCTGTAATCGCAAAGCAACCGTAATGATATCAGAGAGTGAAAGAAATCCAGACAAGTTGTATTTCTATTGAGAAATTTCCAACTTTGTGATGAATTTTAAAAAAATTCTACAAAAGGGGTGATTTTGGGTTTAATTTCCGTCAGGGGGGTCTTCGCATTTGTGAATTTCACAAATGCGAGCTTACAAGAGCTCGCATTCGTGGAATGCGAGCTCTGGTTATTGAGCTCGCATTCCACGAATGCGAGCTCTTCTCAATTTTTTTTTTCCTTTTTTAAGAGCTAGGGAATTATTTCTAGGAAGCAAATGCGAGCTCTTATCTTTTTTATTTTGGTATTTTTTGAGAGGTAGGGAATTATTTGCAGAAAGCTTCTAATTTTTGTTTTAAAAAATGTTGCAAATATTTAAAATTTTGAAAATAGCTCGCATTTGTTAAATTTGACCTGCAAAAATTGTATTTAACTTTTTTGTTAGATTTCGCATTTATAAGTATGACTTGTAGAAAATTAGATTCAAATTTAGATGTATTAGGGTTTTAAAAATATTATATAAGTGATAAAAATTTTATAAATTGTAAAAATAAAATCAAACTGCTTGGATAATTAAATGTTATATTTGCATAAGAAATAATACAATAATCATAATAATGATAATACAATAATATTGGTGTAATAAAACTGCCATTAATTTAAATATTTACTTATAATACCCAAAGAGCCTAATTACCAATTTTTTCTTCTCGCGCTCAAATATAACATTAACCCGCATGCGAGCTAACCTTGAAATAGAAAAAACACAGAATCCCGCTTGCGGGTTTCAGGAGTATTCGGATATTCTCATATGCACCTATGCAAATCGAACCAACCGGATATCTTATCCGTATCCCATTTTTTTAAATAAAAATCTTATAAATTTGAAAAATAAAATCAAATTTAGATGTATTAGGGTTTTAAAAATATTATATAAGTGATAAAAATTTTATAAATTGTAAAAATAAAATCAAACTGCTTGGATAATTAAATGTTATATTTGCATAAGAAATAATACAATAATCATAATAATGATAATACAATAATATTGGTGTAATAAAACTGCCATTAATTTAAATATTTACTTATAATACCCAAAGAGCCTAATTACCAATTTTTTCTTCTCGCGCTCAAATATAACATTAACCCGTATGCGAGCTAACCTTGAAATAGAAAAAACACATAATCCCGCTTGCGGGTTTCAACGTTATTCTGCGCTTCGTGTGTTTGCTTTTGTTTTGCTTTTGTCTTTTTTTTTCGAAATGGAGGGTTGGCGGTGGAGCTTAGTACGAGAGCTCACTGAACTCTAATAGGTTTCTAATTAGGTTTCTAATAAAGACTTCGTTCGATATGTGATATTTCAGCCGAACTTCGAATCCATGGCACTTATTACGCGCTTAAGCCACTTGTCCACATTAGCAATCAAATGGCTTGATATCAAGAATTCCACAAAGGTAAATTACCTAATAACCTTGCAAAATAGGCTATCCATCTTCCTTGAGTTCATATAAAAACATTATCCTAAATACCAAAAAGGACAAGCTTGAATTCCCAATCCCACCTGTGTACATAAATTGTTCTTATTTGATTGAACTTCTTGTCTTGTAACAAATGACTCCACAGACATTTTCTTGCAAAGTACGTAATTTGAAGTCAGGCGTGTAATCTTGCATGACAAGAATAGGTACGTAAAGAATAAGAAAATTCACTATGTAACTTAAACATAAACGGTAGTAATTAACCCCAACTACTTGGGATATATCTGTAATTTTGGCCCTGATGACGTCAGAAAAGGGGCCCAATTTTTTATCAAGAGAGGTAAGTGAAATTTTGAGAACCTCAGGGGATGTCAGTGAAAGTGTCAGAAACCTCAGGGGAGGTTTCTGAAATTATCCCTATTATTTATGTCCTTAAATGGATTATGGTAAACTATTATCTGTAGCATCATAGGATTGGTTCCAAATGGCAAAGTTAGGAATTTTCTATCTCGACGGATATCAAGTATCCAACCGTCTTTCAATGGTAATCCGAAAAAGTAAAAGTAAATAAAGAAGGATTTGACAATTGGTGCCCAGCGAGCATTCATTAAGAAGATTTTAGCCTTCCAGGTGTTAGTTTTTTAAGAAGATGTAGTTAACGTAAAAATGCATCCAAATCTAGGCATATATACACTCTTGATCATATTTATTCATATAATAAATGATATGTGATTTAAATATGTTAACGAATATTCATTAGAAGTCCGTTGAAAAAAATCAATTAAAAAAATGACAATTTTTGGAGTGGGAGATGATAGGATATTTCATTTTACATGCATATTTATAACTGGACTCGAATGAAATTTTTTTTTTTTGAGTTAAGAAAAATTTTTGGATGAATTTGATTCTGATCATCACCACGTGACAGAGTATGCTCTGAAATTATAGATCGCTTACAGATCATTTGCTAACACAATAATCAAATCACAGCGAGATACAAATACACAGTTTTTTATGAAAAAATTATCTGTTCTTATCTGAGTCAACTTGAATGAGAATGTGCTGACTAAGCAAGCAATCTTTGTGGCCGGCACCTTGCGTTACGCATGGGGCGTGTTTGTTGAGCTAGTGGGGACAAAAGTTTGGTAGGTGGCACCAATGGAAGTTGATGACGGTGAGATTGGAAAGCTTATTATTAAAAAAAAAAAAAGAGAACTACGTGATACAGTAGTCGTTAAGATTTCAACCATCATATTTCTAAAGTTCGAATCGAGCTCAATCAATATCGAATTCAAAATATTAAACTCTTTAACTTACGAGCCGGTTCGCGAGCTCGAGTATATATATATAATATTTTTTATTTTTTTTATTTTAAATATATATTTTTTATTTTAAGTATATATGTTTTTTTATTTTTTTATTTTAATAGTAAAATTATATATATATCTTTAATATTTTTATTATTTATTAAAAAAATATTATTTTATTTATTTTTTAAAAAATAAAATAATTATTTTTTTTATTTTTTTTCGAGCTCGAGCTCGACAAGACCGAGTCGAGCTCGAGGTCGAACTTGAAATTGCCGGCTCGTCGAGGTTCGAGTTTGGTAAAATTTAATCGAAACTCGGTTCAATTAACCTAAAACTCGACTCGACTCGACTCGCTCGTTTGCAGCCCATGCACTACATTTACTCAACAATGCACTGCTTTGCTGCTGAAAAAAATATATAAAAGGACTACTATTATAAGAGTAGGTGAGAAAATAATAAACACGTCGTTCGTTTTCCAGAGTTGGTAGACAAATGGTGATTGGTGAGGGTCGATCCGACCCGGGATGCACCTTAATATTTTTAAGTATCTTAATGATTAAGTGCCTGGTTTGAATACATTAGTCCCGTCCTACCTGGCGACTTTGATTCCACTATCTGTGTGCATAATTTTTCTCTATGTAACTCATTTAAAACTAGAAAATCTTTTAGACCGCCTTATTTAGATTATCAAATCTGCGTGCATAACACACTGCGTCCAGAAAAAAAAAAAAAAAAGGTTGTACAGGATATCGTATTTTACAAAAGCTCCAATTATAAGAATTGGATTTGTTAATTCCTAAGAATTACTTATCATCGATCAACATGTGATGTGTATTGAATATTGATCCGTTAAAAAATAGTACTAATAAAACTTGTTGTATGGAGCGAAATGCGCCTGTATTCAAGAGATAGCAGATGCAAGTTTTGGCGCCAATTCGATCCCCAAGATGGGTCTCAACCAGGAGAATTTTCGAGCAAAAAATCTCCGACCTCCACAAATGCACAGACCCAAGCCAGCTGAAGCAGGTCTTGGCAGTCATCTACAAGTCCAATCTCCACACCGACATTTTTATCGCAACCAAGCTCATTTCCGCTTTCTCTCTTTGCCGCCAAATGCGCTCGGCTGTTACCATACACAACCAAATTCGTCAGCCCGATGCGCAAGCTTATAACGTTTTAATCAGAGCCCATGTTCGAAATTCTCAGCCATCCCAAGCCTTGGCGGCTTTCTCCCAAATGCAAAGCTACGGCGTTCGACCTAATGTTTTCACCTACCCATTCCTGTTGAAGGCCTTCTCGGGGTTGGAAATCGTGGCCGCGACTCATGCCCACGTCGAGAAATTCGGATTTGTTGAGGATATATTGGTGCTTAACTCGCTAATTGAAGCCTACTCCAAGTGTGGGTTGATGGGTGTTTGTGCGGCAAAGAAGCTGTTCAGTCTAATGGTGCAGACAGACCATGTGTCGTACAATTGTATGATCAGCGGGTTGGTGAAAGCAGGTCAGTTGACCGAAGCCCGGGAACTGTTCGATGAAATGCCTGAAAGAGACACGGTAAGTTGGAATGCAATCTTGGACGGGTACGTGAAGTCGGGAGAGATCACTGTGGCTTTTCAGTTATTTCAAAGTATGCCGTTGAGGGATTCGGTTTCTTGGTCAACTATGGTTTTGGGTTATAGAAAGGCAGGGAATATGGAGATGGCGAGAAATTTGTTTGATGAGATGCCTGTCAAGAATATGGTGGCGTGGACTATAATAATATCCGGGTATGCTGAAAAGGGACTCTTAAAGGAGGCAATGAGGCTGTATAATGAAATGGAGGAGGCTGGTCTGAAGCCGGATGAAGGGACTATTATTAGCGTCTTAGGTGCCTGTGCAGATTCTGGTATGGTTGGCTTGGGCAGAAGAGTTCATGATTCTGTAAAGAGGAATAGGTTTAGTTTCGGTATCCGGGTGTCCAACGCTTTAGTTAACATGTATGTTAAGTGTGGGTGCTTGGATGAGGCCTTGAGTATTTTCCATGGGATGAAAGAGAGAAACTCGGTATCCTGGAGTACTATGATCCACGGATTGGGTCTACATGGCTATGGAGAGAAGGCTGTCCAACTCTTCTCTAGAATGACACGGGAAGGATTTGCACCTAACAAAGTAACGTTCCTAGGGATCCTGTCTGCTTGTAGTCATGCAGGCTTGGTTGATGAGGGCATTCAGTATTTTTACAGAATGCAGAGGGATTATGGGGTTATCCCTGAAATTGAGCACTATGGCTGCATGGTTGACCTTCTTGGTCGTGGAGGTCGTCTTATGGAAGCTTTTGGGCTTGCTCATAACATGCCATTTGAACCAAATGACAAAATTTGTGGTGCACTTTTGGCAGCTTGTAGAAAGCATTATACTGTCACACGTGCAGAGGACGAACTCAAGCAACTAGTTCAACTAGACTTGAAGAATACGGGAAATTTATCAATGTTATCAGATATTTATGCGGCAACAGGAGACTGGACCAGTGTTGCAGGTGCAAGGCTGTGCATGAAGAACATGAGCAGCGAAAAGCCTTCTGGGGCCAGTTCAATCGAGTTGGATGATGAATATTATGAATTTACCATGATGGACAGATCTCACCCTAAATCTGATATGATATATCAGGTGATTGACCAATTGGGTGAACATCTTAGGAAGATTAGTTATGTCCGTACAGCTTCTTGCTAAGGATCACAACAGAATCTTGTGCTGTTTGAGATATTGCTCAGATGATGCTTGTGACGCCATCTTTCGGTTGTTCAAAGTGGAAAAGTTGCTGTATCGGAGAGCTCAACGGGTATTCTTCCTTGAAACCAATCTTGCCAGGTATTAGCACCCACATATGAGTGTTTTATTAACAGAGAATTTTATAATCAATTGTCACGTGATGTAAACCCGCATTAAAATATTTTGAGTCAAATCTCAAGTTAAAATAAGTCATAACTACATATTTCCCACTGGTGTTATATGTCTGCATAGAGCCATTTAATGCGTCTTTCACATTTTGGTGAAATCTGTTTAGATTGTAGAGATGATGGCGCACTTGGTTCTCTCAGCAGTCACGTAATTATTCATCAAAAGGTTGACTTTTTCATAATAGGGTAATTGCAAGTTTATTACGGAATTTGGATTCTCATAAGCCATTCGTTGTCTGAAAAATCATTAGAACAAGGTAATACGGTTGCAAAATCAAGAGAACCCCAATCATCTTGTTATGCCCCGTAAGAAGAATCTATCTCCATGAACTTCATTTTACAGTTTCTCTTTTCCTTTTGGTAAATTCCTGTGATTTGAAGATGGTAGATGCATATCTTCTAACTTTATAGCAGGATTGGTATTTCAACTTAAAATTGATGTTGATTAAATTTTACACAGGATAATGTTACGAAGCCAATGGGAAAATGCAACGTATTATATGAAAGAAGCTGTAGTGTAATTTGTTCACAGCCAAAATATTTTCCCGTGGGTGCTGTGGTGGCGAAAAGAACTGTTTGAGATGATGACACATCATCGATGAACTGCTTAAAAATATTATTGCTAGAGACAAAACCTTGTGAACCCAAAGGGAAAAAAAAAAAAATGACACCTTGGCCACTACGTGTTCATTTCAGCCAAAGTCTTTCAACTATGCATTACGTGTAGTGTTGCAAATGTTCTGCCTGTATCCTATGTGTAAAGTTACATCCAGTGTCCCATATGCTTATTAAGCTGGAAGAGGACAGCATCCTACTTGGAAGGATGGGTTTAAAATCATCATCTTGTGGTGCACATTTAGCCTCCTTCGGCAATATATAACGCTTCTACATCTTATATGCGACGAATCTTGAGTGGCATCACATAGTGACAGTCGAGAGAGAGGAATCAAGAGCCATGGAAACCTGTTTATTCTCTTCAAAATCCTTCTCCAAAACAACAGAAATCATTCCTTTTAATAGAATACGAGTTCCTGCTCTCACAGGAAGAAAGTTTTGTCGGCATCAGTCCAAAAAAGTAGGGATTCGATATTCCATATCTTGTAAGTGTATTTATCTCATATCTTCAAATTACGTACAATTGGGTGTTTGCCCTCTTGTTCTTGAATTTTTTACATCTATATGGTGAACTCGGTTTTACTTTCAATTGGCTCTTGAATCTTATGATTTTATGATCAGCTGGGGATAAGTACCAAGGATAAACGAACCTGCTTTTAGATCTCTTAGATCGAACTCTAAAACAGACCACATCTATATCTTTCTGGTATTCAATTGTTTCTAATTTTTGGTGATATTTACGCATTACGCGAACATGTTTATATTTTACTTCCGGCACTGGATCTCTGAATCGTAATCAATGACTATGATTCTTTGTGATGTAAAGGTTGCCAGCTAGGTCGTAAATCACAATCACCTGAGGATGAGGAGAGACCATCGGTTGATGTTGACTGGCGATCATTTAGGGCAAGGTTAGTAGCTGGAGAAAAAGCATCCACAACAGGAGGAGGGCCTTTTTCTGCTGTTATCGATCCGGATAGAGTCGCGGATCAGCCTCCAACGATCACAACTGGGGACAAATGGGCTCATACTATACATGAACCCGAGAAGGGTTGCTTGCTTATAGCCACAGAGAAGCTGGATGGCGTCCACATTTTCGAAAGAACGGTGATTCTGCTGCTATCTACCGGTCCCATAGGCCCAACTGGTATCATACTCAACCGGCCATCGCTCATGTCAATCAAGGAAATGAGATCATCTTCGGCTTTGGATGTTGTTGGCACATTTTCTGATAGGCCATTGTTCTTTGGAGGGCCCTTAGTAGAAGGGATTTTCCTGGTGAGCCCTGAGGATGGAAAAGATGGGGTTGGAAAGAGTGGAGTGTTGGAGGAAGTAATGAAGGGACTGTACTACGGAAATAAGGAGACCGTGGGTTGTGCTGCTGAGATGGTGAAGAGGAATGCTGTTGAGATTGGGGACTTCAGATTCTTTGATGGATATTGTGCGTGGGAAAGAGAGCAACTGAGGGATGAGATAAGGTCCGGCTATTGGACTGTAGCTGCCTGCAGCCCAAGCGTCGTTGGTCTGGCTAGTGTCGGAAGTGTTGGGCTCTGGGAGGAAATCCTTGGGCTTATGGGCCCTAGAAAGGTTTGGTAAGGAATCAATATACTCTTTATTTTCAGTATTGTAAAAAGTGCATTTTGATTTTTGACATCCTTGTTGTATTGTACCCATATATTCTTGAACCATGGCGGAACTTGGATTCTGGTTTAATACATGGTGCGAGATCGATCCTTAAGATAAATCGGGAATTTGAATTTCCATCCGAAAAGGATCTCTTCTTAGTTCTATACTCAATCGCTTCTTGTATTTCACTTTTCTTTTATACACTACTGTTAGTGTAAATGTCTCTTTGCACAAGCAAATTTAAATCATGTAACATAATACGAATTCAAATTTGAAAAATTTAAATCATGCACATATAACATACATTCGAATGTACTAGCGCAAGAAAATTACTACATTATCAATGATAAAAAACTAATCCATTTCATTTATGAGTTTACCTACAAAAAGGCAACAGCAATGGATGCAAGTATAATTTAATTTGTATCATCTAAGTCCTATGTCGCTCAAAGCAGTATTTTTCTTAATTTATCTCCATCAAATGGCACGAACATACGCGCGCAAGGGAAGTAAGTCTGCATCATTAGCCTAAGTATCAACTTTTAACAATTGAGGAAGAATCATTTGTGTAGTAGTGTCCAATGATTTGATATCAATCAAAACACATATGCTTTGGGATTTATTAGCAATCCGGTCTTCCCAATATTCTTGGCCAGCATGTTTGGAAGCTACCATGTATAATACACTATTATATTTATGAGGATGGACATACAAATAAACAAATAGTTCAAACTTACAATTAGGATGGACCTGTAATTATAAGGCAAGGCATAATTTGAATTAAAGTAAATAAAAATTGTAAACAAACGAATATTGAGGATAGCAAAAGTGCGTTTAGGAGATAATTTATCTTCTCTCTCATGAAATTAGTTTTTTTTTTTTTTTTTTTTTTAGTCTCATTTGGGTTGACATGTTACAAAAACATAAGAAGTAGGACAAGTATGTGAGATTTCTAAAATTTCAGGGGAGGCCAGTGATATTGATAAAAACCTTTAGGAGGGGGGACTTTCTAAATTAGAAAGCCTGTGGACCCGTGGGACGCACGATAAAATCTCACAGCTTGTCCTTGTCAATTATTTAAAGGGATAATTGCAGAAATCTCTCCGGAGGTTTCTGACATTTGCACTGACCTCCCCTGTGATTTGAAAAATTACACTAGCCTTTCCTGAGGTTACTAATCCTTTGCAAATTTAGTCCAAATGATTAAAATATTATTTTAGGGAGTGAAATTAGAATTTTGTATCAGATTTGCCGTTTGTGCTACATATCCAATGACTGACAAAGTATTATAAATCAATTAACAATTAATAAACTTTAAGGAGTATAATTTATGGGCAAACACGCATTACTCATTTAAAGTACCGACTCTTTACGGGTATTTTATTTTCAAATATTTAATTTATGATAAATATATCAATATTTGTAAGTAAAATTCAAAAAGTGTTACAGTAATATTCTTGCAAAAAGGAAATATGTAGGTTATTTATTTAATATAAATTAAATATTTTTTTAAAAAAAGAAATGGGCCATAAAGTATTAATTTTTTATGATTTTCATCCATTACATGAGTAAAGTATTTGCTCTTTTTGTGCATTTTATTATGAATCATTTAATTTATGTTAAATACATAAATGTTTGTAACTAAAATTGAAAAAGTGTTAGATTAATATTTTTACAGAAGAGAGGTTGGCGGGTTTTGTATTTAACAAAAATTAAATATTTGAAAATAAATACAAATCTGTATTTGAGCGTAAATATTTGTATTAAATTAAATGTTTGAAAGTAAAATACCCGTAATGAACCGGTACTTTAAATAGTTACCGGCTCTTTATGGGCAAACACGCATTACTCATTTAAAGTACCATTTTTTTACGGATATTTTACTTTCAAACATTTAATTTATGATAAATATATCAATGTTTGTAAATAAAATTCAAAAAGTGTTACAGTAATATTCTTGCAAAAATGAAATCGGTAGGTTATTTATTTAATATAAATTAAATATTTTTTTAAAAAAATGGCCCATAAATTATTAATTCTTTATGGCTTTCATCCATTAAATGAGTAAAGTATTGGCTCTTTATGGGCATTTTATTGTGAATCATATAATTTATGTTAAATACATAAATATTTGTAACTAAAATTGAAAAAGTGTTATATTAATATTTTTACGGAAGAGAGATTGATAGTTTTATATTTAACAAAAATTAAATATTTGAAAGTAAATACAAATATGTATTTGAGCGTAAATATTTGAATTAAATTAAATGTTTAAAAGTAAAATACCCATAAAGAGTTGGTACTTTAAATAGGTAATGCGTATTTGCCTATAAACTATACTCCTTAAAGTTTATTAATTGTTAATTGATTTGTAGTATTTTGTCATTCATTGAACATGTAGTACAAATGACAAATTTGATAAAAAAATTATAATTTCACTCCCTAAAACAATATTTTAGTCGTTTGGACTGAATTTGCAAAGGATTAGTAACTTCGGGGGAGTTCAGTGTAATTTTTTGAAATACAGGGGAGGTCATTGAAAATGTCAGAAACCTCAGGGGAGGTTTCTGCAATTATCCCTTATTTAGAACCACCTACGCCGATGCCCTGAAAAGGGTCAATTCAATCAAAAGTTCCTTTACCCACGCGCCTGTATTTCACGTGTCCAATCATGGGACCCCTTTCCGTCTTCGTACGCTTTGTACCGTCCATCAGATTCAGCGCTGGGCACTGAGCAGCACAGATTGGTTATATTTATTCATTCATTCGCTCGCTATATACGCGCGTGGACATTGTCAGATAGAAGAGTTTTTTTTTTTTGCTGGTGAGATTTGAACCCTCCCTGGTGGCCACTGAGCCATTGGCCCAGTGGTTGTCAGATAGAAGAGTTGGGTTGATACTTTTAGGAAACTGTCCGGTCCAGTCGGAGAAGGGGCAGGGGTGTCAGTTAATGGCTAAGATTTGACCAACAAAATTTGTAGGGTCCAAATTTTAATATATGTGGGATGGAGTGTTTGGATACTAAAATTATTCTAAATAATATTTCGCTTGCATCACAAATACATTTCCCAACCTACCTTTTTATATTACCAATCACCTTTTTATCTCACATACATCATATCACAAAAAGTGCTACAGTAATTATTCTAAATAATATTTCAAATAATACACTATCCAAACAATCTTTTTAAACCTAAAGGGTGACAAGTGTCACCTTCCTATTCAACCTTGACTTTGACCATTATTTCTTACCTTTACTAATACTCAATTTTGACAATATTATTCTAGTGTTACATCGTGTACAAATGATGTTACACTTTATGTAAAATGCACACAAGCTTCCGGAACGGTTGCACTGACAACCGTTCCAGCCCCGAGTCCGGTCCAGTCGGGCTGCTGTTTCTACTAAATTCTCCCGTCCTATCCTATCCTATCCTCGTAGAATAGAAGTTGGTAAGCAGGCATTTTTAATAATAAAAAAAAAATTCCTTTCGTGAAGACATATTTGAATTATCTTTCTATCTTATATATATATCAAATTAATGCTGTATATTTTTTTATAAAAATTGTAATCCAAACGTACTCTCGCAAGATTTTGAGGTTTCAAAAATTTTTTTTTTGAGAAAAGGATTCGAATTTTCAATTGCTCATATTTTCTCCTTCTCCTCCGTTCAGAAGTTTAGTTGTTAGTGTTTTAGTTGAAAGAAAATATACATGTATGGACAAAATGTAACGAAAAGTAAGACAGACATTTTCACAATTAAATAACTTGCCCCAAAAAGCATGGAAGGTTGAGAGAATCTTGAAAATGTCCAAAACAACTGCTTATTTCAAGCCCATTATTTTTGGTTTTCTCCTGCTTATTTACTGGTTGTAATAATGTAGTGTCCGCCATGAACTAATTTATAATTTGTACGATCCTTTGTACATTTTATTCTATCCTGAATAATAATATCATATACAGTAATATCATGAGGACAGCCAAAGTAGGGAAGCCGAGGATGAAAGAAAATTATTCTACGTAGATGCAGCCCTGGTAAAATAAAATAAGAAGTGACCACGTATGCGGACAAATTTGAAGTCATTTTTCTTTGGGACATTTCATTTGGATTTTGCGTACACGCAGACACACAGAGATCTTTATCTCCCGCTGTTATGTTACGTAGAATGTAACTTTTTTTTTTCTTTTGTTTTGTTTTCCCCCGCTCGGGGGGGGGGGGGGGAGGAAGGAGGGGTTGGGTGGGGCGGTTGCTGATTGATCAAGAAAGTGGCCCAGCAGCTGCAAGCACAGAGTGAATTTCTCATCGTTTGTTTTGGTCGTGGGATGATGGTGATCTAGCGAGGCTCTTCAATGCTAGCGCAAAGATTCCTTCTAATTTGTTTTTTGGGCTTTGGACTTGGAGCAAGTCAAGTCTTGCCCTTTTTTGACTTGCACTTCCTAACTTGAAGAAAGTGAGGGAGTCATCGCCTCTTCACTTCTGGGAAGATTATTCTGGTCTTCTCATTCTGTTGGGTGAAAATAATATTCTTGATCGATTCTTCTCAAATTGGTTGCAGACAGGAACAGGGTTCTGAAGAGAGGGAGGTACACCTCATATTTCTCCATAACTGTCTGTTGCCTTCAACACACTTATACTCTGTTTATTTATTCATTGTTTTTCCGTCTAAATTTTGTTACTTTTCTTTCTTGATTGTGGTTTACTTTCTATGTTCTGTTTGATTCTGCAACCTTCAGGCAGACAAACGGAAAGACATAATTCGCCGTCCAGTTTGGCTGGCCTCCAAAGGGCATCCGTGTACATTCATTTCTTGATATCAGCATTGATTACTGATAAAGAAAAGCATTGATTGCTCGAGCTCTTTCCTCCTTTTCATCCTATAGCTTGCTTGGCATGCTTATACTATTGGAATTTCTTCTCATAGTTTTGTGGTTTTTAATCTTCTCTTTCCTCACTTTTTTTTTATTTTTTTTTATTTTCCCTTGTTTATATTTATAAACAAATACGACTTCTAAAGTATTCGTATCCCAATTTGGGAGTTTTACTGAATAGAACATTATTCTGAGGCAGAAGGCGCATATTTGATCCCCAGCAAAGTAGAATTGCGATTGTTGTCATCCCTAATAATCTTGGTTCTTTGTGGAGGTAACCACAGGGGCTTTAAGTCCGACCAGATTTTTTTCCTGAGCAAAATAGAAAGAGCTTTATTAATGATTTGCAAAGCATCACATACATGAGGAATTCTCAAACTACATCAGCAAAATAACACTAAACATTATAAACTGACAAAATTGCTTAAAATCTAAGCCCCACTCTACAGCTAGAATCCAATTTTCACGAGTTCTAGGAATTTTTCCCCAACCATGAACAAAATGTTGAGCTTCTCGAACAGTAGCAGCCAGAATAATCCTTGCTGAAGCACCTTTATGTTGGAAAATTATAGCATTACAGGCCCTCTATATCTCATAGACCGTGAGGGTAAAACCATCCGCTTCAACTGATGAGCAAAGGTTTTGGAATTCCAGTGCTTCACCATCCAAGACAACTCCTCTTGAACTTGCCATGGAACGTTCGTCGAATTAGACTGCTAGCAGAGTTATATCTATACAGCATTTAGAGCATCTGCCCACTCAAAGGTTGCTTTGTATCCATTTATGCTATTGATCATTGTCTGATTGTTTTGCTTGACTTCTCTTGTAGCAACTCAAGTGTTTTTCATGTTTGCTCAATCAGCTACTAAGCCTACTATTCTGGTTGATTTTTATGAGATTGAAGCTGAGGTTGTGATTATCATTGAGTTGCTTGCAGGAATGGGAACTCAAATACTTCATTCTAAAAGATATTCGACAGGATACTGTTCCATTTGGGGTCCAAATGCAATTGTAAGCAATGACATCTGGTCCGTGTATCATGAAGATAAAGCCCCAAAAAATGGTCAGTTCGGTGACTTCCTTCTGCCCGGGCAAGTAACAGTCAATGGCTCTATTGAGTACAACAAGGAAAAAGTGAGGCAAATGATTCTAAAGCATGAATCAATGTTCAGGCATCAGGTATACATACTTTGAACCTTCACTTTACAGGGAATTGAGTTCAAAGTTTTAATGGGTATAAGGTTGATTTTGTAGTATTTACTCGTATATATGAGGTTGATATAGGAAAACTTGAATTCTAAAGCACCCATTTCACGATTAGGGTTCATAGAGAATTGTACCATCTGTTAACCTTCTTACCACCTATTAGATTGTTTCCCTCTTTTAACATATACTTATAACAATTCAGCTCCAAGAACTCCACCGTCTTTATGGAAGACAGAAGGAGCTCATGGACGTATTCAGAAGAAGAGATGTAAAGAAAGGTCAAATAAAGGCAGAAACATCTAGTTTGAATCCTTGCTCATCTTATATTCCTTGTGACAATGCTAAACCTACACAGCATGCTGCACATACTCCAATGCATCTGGTGTTTGGTCAATCATCAATGTCAGAGTCCGCTGACAAGAAGTCCCTCTCTGGTTTTGGCAAGGACAAGAATATGCTGGCTTTTCCCTCCAGGTGGAATGGAAGTTCAGAAATATGTGGACCTCCATGCTCTAACGGAAATTTGCTTCAGAGAAGAATGATTGACCTTGAAAGTCCAGCCGAAGTGGATATGAATCATGAAGAAAGACACCTCAAAGAGAGATTCTCTGGACTGTCTGGGGTTAAGAGCAACTCTGCAGCCAGTGGGCCAAGCACTAATGAGAATTTGCATGATAGAGATATGAAGTCACTTAATTTCAGTGTCCTTAATTTCCATCAGGATGGCGATGCTTTGAGATCCCTGTGGCACTTAAAAAGAAAGAATGAGTTGGCTGACTTGAATGAACCCATCTTGCTTGAAGAAACCTCTATTTCAGGTTCTGCTGATAATTTAGGCACCTGCACTTGCACTTCGGATAACAGACAAAGGGTAGATTTATCTGCAATTTCAAATTCAATCCTTCATCCTGTACGGACAGGTACGCCTCTAAGTTCCACGAAAGAAATGTTTGGTGGAATTTGCTTCGACTGTCTGCAGTCAACAAATAAGAGGAATAAAAGAGAGCAGTTGCGATATGATTTAAAAGCTAGTAAACATAACTTATAAATGTCTACTTGCTATTGTGCTGTTCCTTCAAATTATCAGATGGGAATCTTTTCCTTGCATTGTTTTCTTCTCAAGTTGCTGTTTCATGTTCACCTCAAGTCTCCATCTCCCATATGTTGAATTCTCTGAAATTGTACATTTTCAGCTATTAGTGATGCATTCACCGTGTTACTGCCTGTCATTTAGTTTGACTTTTGAAAATCAGGTTTTGTCGACAAAAAACACATCAATGAATTTATTATGTTGGAAGCACGAAAGTTCACTTCCTATTTATGCAGCATGAAAGGGTTGCTGTGAGACAGTTTGTTTTTGATGTGGTGCTTTCTAAACTTCTTTTCTTTTTCCTTTTTTTCCCCACCTTTTCAGAGCCAATGAGACCTGATGCCCCTTCTCTCATGAAAGATGGCAGTCCTACCAGTTCGCCTGTAGCTTCCCAGTCATCCCCAGCTGAGCCGAGGAAAATCAATGAGTTCTCAACATCTGAAATCAGAAAGACTGAAAGAAAGATGAAAAGAAAACTTTTTGGTGTTGATATTTTCGAAGTGCATGATGGATCATTGGTTACTCATACCAATACGGTCAATGGTACAGATAAATATGATCAACTCAGTTCCAAACCATCAGTTGTTGAAGTTAAAGAGACTGTTGATTCAGGCAGAAGATCATCATTTCCAAGCTCAATAGATGGAGTATTCTATCAAAATGGTCTCTCTCTTTGTCCTCAGTTGAATGCCAAGGAGTCAATGGGCAATTCAGCAATCGATTGTAACTTCATCAGCAACACGACCACCAGTGCCTTGGTGCACAAAATATCTCCACCTACAGATCATGTAAATTCTGTTGAGGGTTTGGACTGCTTGGGCTGGAGGTCTGCTGAGGTCATTAAAACTGCCAAGATTACCTCTAATGCATTTCAAGATGATGTTGCTTCTGAACATTACAACTTGTCTGCAGATTGTCAAAGTGAAAATGTTCTGAAGGGATCAAAGGTCCATCTTATGGAAACAGAATATAGATACGAACAGAGCAGAGCAAAAAGCAACTCTTATCATCTAAATTTGGATTCTTTGCAGCACAATTCTCAGCAGTTTTTCAAGAAAACTAAAGTTATTTCGCTTTCCTCTCAGGTCTTGACAGACAAACAGGAAACTACTTTACCTCTTCTTATTCATGAGAACGAGCAGAAAAATACTGAAGTTGACAAATGTAGTTCTACTATAATGAACAGTAATTTCCTAACCAGCAATGAACTCAGGATCTCCAATGATCTAAACTTTGCAACTGAGCCGGCTTTTTTGGCTGCTGATGGTGATAATGCTCAAGATTCCGTGGTAGAAAAAGTTGGTCCTGTAGATCAGGCTGGAGGAAAGGATCTAAAGTCAGAGGAACCAATGAACAGTTCTTTTTCTTGTTTACGATGTCCCATCGACTTGAATTTATCTGTTACTGAAGAGGAGGCTCGTTCAGCACCCTCCCTTCCTTCAGCTGTTGTGAAACTTGCAACAACTGAAATGGACTTGGAAGTTCCCTTGGTGCCTGCATATGAATCAGAAAAAGATACTAAAATTTCATCTGATGGGAGCAAGGCCCCTTGTGAAGATCTCATTAGACTCGCGGCTGAGGCTATAGTTGCAATCTCAGTCTCTGGTGGAGAAGATACTGCAGAACATGCGACATTCATATCACTTGACGGGACATCGAATGATTGCCTTGAATGGTTTGTGGACATTGTGTCTTCTTTTGAGTGCCATGATCAGAGCAACACAAATGTTGTCAACTGGAGCGGAGATGCTGCATTTACTGAGGATTTGATTCCTGATGGTATGGATTATTTTGAATTTATGACATTGAAGCTGAAGGATGCCAGAAGTGAGAACTACCTGTATAATTACGAGGCACCAGTTTTACAGAATCAGGATGATGATGAACATGTTACTAAATTGTCAAGACGGCCCCGAAGAGGGCAAGCAAGAAGAGGAAGGCAGCGTAAGGACTTCCAAAGGGATATACTTCCTGGTCTGATTTCCCTGTCAAAGCTTGAGGTGACTGAGGATTTTCGGACGTTTGAAGAAGTGCTAAGAGCTAGTGGTTGTAATTGGGAGTCCAGCTTATCAAGAAAAAGTGCTGCTAAGAATGGCAGGGGAAGAAGGCGTTCAGGGGTTACGCATCCTCAGAAAGCAGATGCAATTTACCCTCCGTTAGAGCAGAAACCTGTTTCTAGAGAGGTGAAACTCGAGGATAAAACTTTAACTGGGTGGGGAAAGAAGACTAGGCGTTTGCCAAGGCAAAGATCTACGAATGGAACCATTACTGTTTCTTTAGATAAAAAATAAGTTGGTTGAGAGTTGGTAAAGGTAAACAGAATATCGGAGATTGTCAAACAGAGTTGATAGAGCTGAAACTTAGCAGTCAGCAGCTGCAGCAATTAGGATTCATGCTGCGAATTAAATCCTATCATATGTCTGTGATTATGGCTGCGCTTGGATGTTAAAGTTTCCCAAGCGAGCTGTTGTAAAACCCTCCAAGTAACATTTGTTTGCCTTTTCGAAGAAGCGGATCATTGTGCACAGATTGTAATAGATAACCTAATTTGTAACATAGATGGACGGTTTGCAGTCAACAATTTAAATTTTTTATGATATACCCTTTTTCTTTCCTCCTTCCGCGAGTAGTTAAAAACACTACCATAAGCTGAGTCCCTAAACTATAGTTATTGCTGGTTGTCCAATATCAGAAGCAACTGTTCTTGTCTAACATTCTATATGCTTCTCTCAAAATTTCTGCCTCGTAAAGACTTTGCGTATTTCACATGGTTCAAACTAAATCTCGTGTAGAGCCTGGTTGCCGCGGTGGTAGGCCAGCCGGCTCAAGGTGTGACAACAATATAATTGTATTTCAGACGCGATACTCTGGGTTCATAAATCATACTTCACCAATTACTGTCTCCTAGCGGTATTTACCAGGAGGTCAATTTTATGTTTCCTAAACATAACACCCAAACGAATAGATTCTCCAAGGAATTTGGCTCCACTCCCAAGTCCAGCAGAGGAGATGATTGCTATTTCTGGGGGGTATTCACCAGTTTTTGTCAACTGTAACAGATATGAAAGGGCTTCCTTCCATAGTTCCCGCGTTAATTCAAAACCCCACCAAGTTTACCTGCGTCAAAGCTCAACTGCGGATCCTCTCTGAAACTTCTTCACCGCTTTCTGAGAAGTTTGCTTCTTTTTTGGACAACTGTCTGGACATTGATTCTTTAAAAAAGTTGCATGCTTGCATATTAACACATGGTCTTGAAAACAACGTTGGTTTGGGCTCTAAGCTTATCAATTCGTGCGCAAGATTCAATCTTTTAACTGAATCTAAATGGGTTTTCCGTAAAATCATTTGTAACAATCTCTCTCTCTGGAATTCAATTATTCTTGGGTACTTCAGAGCTGCTCATTTTGGTGAAGTTCTGGGGCTTTATGTAGGACTAAGGCGTAGAAAAATTGGTATCAATGGTTCAGTAATTACTTTTGGTTTGAAAAGTTGCGTTGAGTTGGGTAGTCTAGACTTTGGAAAAAGTCTCCATGTGGATGCTTTCAAGTCTGGCTTAAATGGTGATCGGTTTGTGGGTTCATCACTGATTGGGTTGTATCACAAATATGATGACGTTGACGAAGCAGCTAAAGTGTTTGATGAAATTACTGCGAGAGATGTCGTTGTTTACACTTCAATGATTACTGCATATGCTCAGGTTGGTGATAATCGTTCTTGCGAGGCTTTCAGAGTGGCAGGTTATATGCAAAAGGAAGAACTTGAACCAAATCGCATAACTCTGGTCAGCTTATTGCAGGCTGTATCAGTGTATGGAGCTATTAAAGAGGGCAAATCAATTCATGGATATGCTATTAGGAAAGGGATTGGATGGTTGGATGAAGTCTTTGAAACTAGTCTGATGGATATGTACATGAAGTGCGGGTTCCCTGGCAAAGCAGCCTTGAGTTTTGGTAACATAAGCTGGAAAACAATCGGTTCCTGGAATGCTATGATTACTGGTCATCTGCAACTTGGGCAGCCCTTGAAAGCATTGCAACTTTTTCTTCAAATGGTTCAACAAAACTATGTGCCTGATATTATTACTTTGGCCAATGGGGTTTTGAGTTGTGGATATATAGGGCATTTGTCTGGAGGCAAGAGTATCCATGGCTACTTACTGAGAAATGGATTTCAGCTTGATCTTGTTGCTACCACAGCTCTAATCGATATGTACTCGAAATGTTACCAACTAATTCAAGCCAAGGAAGTCTTTGATAAGATGCATCGTAAAGATGATGTTTCTTTCAATGTGATGATAGCTGGTTATCTTGAAAATGGATTTTCATCTCAGGCCGTGGAGGAATTTCATGAAATGGTAAGGATGGATTTGAGGCCAAACGTAAGTACAATCCTGAACGTGCTTTCTGCAATCTCAGATCTGAAAGATACAAGGCAAGGCAAGTGCATCCATGGACATGCGTTCAGACATGGGTTTGGAGAGAATACGGATATAGCAAATCAACTTATTAACATGTACTCAAAGTGCTGCACCATGAACTACGCAAGGAAAGTCTTTGACAGGATAGGAAAGAAGGATACAGTGTCATGGACATCAATGATAACAGCTCATGTTAATGGTGGCCGTGCTGATGAAGCTGTGATCCTGTTCCGGCTGATGCAGAAAGAAAAACTTAATCCTGATTCTGTCACTTTAATCAGTCTACTTCAGGCATTGTCTCAGCTTGGATGTCTGAGTTTGGCCAGGGAAGTTCATACTCGCATATATCGAATACTTTTGAATGAAGACAAACCTATGATTAATTGTCTAATTACTGCTTATAGCAACTTTGGAAAATTAAGCATTGCGAGAAATTTGTTTGAGCATGTAGCTAAACGTCAATTGGCAACATGGAATTCTATGATATCAGCATACGGAATGCACGGTGACTGTGTTCAAGCACTGAAATTGTTTGACATGATGAAAAAGGATAAGATTCCTCCTGATGGATTAACGTTCACGTCAGTACTTTCTGCGTGCAGTCATTCAGGAATGGTAAACGAGGGCTTGTGCGTCTTCAAGTCTATGAAAGAAGAATATAGATTAACTCCTTCAGGTGAGCATTACAGTTGTATGGTGGACTTATTAAGCAGAGCAGGGCGCCTTGAAGAAGCATATGAACTTCTAAAATTTCTGCCATCAGACCAAGCTACTTCTGCACTTGGTGCTCTGCTTGCTGCTTGCAGAGTTCATGGAAATATCAATATTGGGGAAATAATAGGAAGGAGGCTGTTGGAACTGGAGCCTCAGAACCCTAGTGCATATAATTTAGTGTCAAATTTGTTAGCTGAACAAGAGAAATGGGAGGAAGTAGCTAAACTGAGAAGCATTGCAGAAAGAAGAGGCTTGAAAGGATTTGCAGGGAATAGCATGATAGAGTTTGGATGTACGGGTCTTCTGAGTGGTTCATGACATTTATCCTGGTACCAAAATATTTGGTACTTGCTACCAGTCAGGGTTGTATATACATCAATGGATCATAAGAAATGGCCTGAGGGTCTATCGAGGCAAGCTGCCTTTTGCAGGCATCCAATGCTCCCAAGTCCCAATCCTTTTGTCAAGATATTATTTAGTTAACGTGGAAGATTTTCCACTGATTCCTGTAAAACGAAGTGTATACCAAAAGAAAAGTGTATACAAGCAGAAGATTGCTTATTCTCCTTTCGTTTCTCCTCTACTTCTGATGTCTTGCCGATTTTTTCCCCCTAATTTATCGAGTCCGAACCCCTAACACCCAACTCCGCCACCACTTATAGGATGAGTACTTGTTTGGGGAGCTGGCAGCTGACACTTGAAACTCATGCCTCTCTGCCTCTGTTGCTTACGAAATACTCCAGTCAAGACTACATTTTCTGATCGTTATTTTTGACCTGTAATTCAACAATCCATTACCCCGTCCATCTCTTAACCTACCTCCCTAAATCGTCAAGCAAAATATGAGCCAAAGATCGAACTAGCTCTTTTTTTTTTTTTTTCTCCTGCAATTGTCCCATTTTTCTTAACAAAACAGTAGAGAAAGCAGGAATGGCAAGAAAATTAGCTGGCGACTGGTGAGTGTGAACAGACAAGACAATAATCATCAAAAAGAAAAAGGTCCCACCGGGAGTCGAACCCAGGTCGCTGGATTCAAAGTCCAGAGTGCTAACCACTACACCATGGAACCCCTCGTGCGCAACTTTTTGTTTCAAGTCAACCTTGAAACATTTCACTAGCAGGCAACTGGTCAAACGGAAATAACGGGAATTTTTTTTTTAAAAAAAAATGAAACGGCACGCAACCAAAACCAAAAGGCCAAAGCAGTAGTCGCCGTTTGGGTCTCCAATCGGAATTCCCGAAATCTTACCACATTTTGATCAAAGGCCCCATCTTCTCCACCATTGGCAAGCGTAGAATTGTTGCTGAAAATAATGCAGGACGATCAAGTAAACCGGAAACCCAGATACGACGTCGTTATATTCGGAGCCTCGGGTTTCACAGGCAAATATGTCATCAGAGAAGCCCTCAAGTTCCTCCACACTCCATCCTCCCCTTCCCCTCTCAAAACCCTTGCCTTAGCGGGTCGATCCCACTCCAAGATCGCCCAATCTCTCAAATGGGCTGCCCACCCAAACCCACCACCTCCCGACCTCCCCATCCTCACCGCCGACACCTCCGACCCCCCTTCCCTCCGCCGCCTCGCTTCCCAAGCCAAGCTCATCCTCAACTGCGTCGGCCCCTTTCGGCTCTACGGCGAGCCCGTGGTGGCTGCCTGCGTCGACTCCGGATGTGATTACTTGGATATTTGCGGTGAGCCGGAGTTTATGGAGAGGATGGAGGCTGGGTACCACGAGAAGGCGGCCGAGAAGGGTTCTTTGGTCATTTCCGCTTGCGGGTTCGACTCGGTTCCGGCTGAGTTGGGACTGCTGTTCAATTCCAGGCAGTGGGTCCCTCCTGCCGTGCCTAACCGGGTCGAGGCTTACTTGAGCCTGGAATCTAGTAAAAGAGTTGTCGGAAATATTGGGACATACGAATCGGCGGTTCTCGGGGTGGCTAATGCCGATAAATTGCAGGAACTGAGGCGGTCCAGACCCAAGAAACCTCGCCCTTTGGTAATTCCTCTACGTACCGGTCTAGTACTAGTACACTACTACTATTAATTTTATATCACTAGCAGCATTTTTGTTTCACTTTCTTGGTGTTAAGTTATTTAAAATTGTAATTTTTTTTTAACAATTTGTTGCGTTTCTTGGTTACCGTGGCTTATGGAAAATCCGGAAATGATGGATGTTACGTGTTAGTAGTACTTGCATAACCTTTATCTTTTACTTGCTAATCTATCTGCGTATCTGCTTATGGTCTCTGGTTGTGTAGTTTTGGTAGGATTGATATCTAAGAGAGACGGGCCTTAAAATCCTTTCCAGATTGAGTTCTCCTTGCCGTGACAAGTTTCGTGTTTTCTTTTTACATCAAGACCCCGACTGCTTGTGTCCTTTTACTCGGTTGAATTGCTCTGAAAGTGCGTCAGTTACGTGTTAGTAGTACTTGCATAACCTTTATCTTTTACTTGCTAATCTATCTGCGTATCTGCTAATCTATCTGCGTATCTGCTTATGGTCTCTGGTTGTGTAGTTTTGGTAGGATTGATATCTAAGAGAGACGGGCCTTAAAATCCTTTCCAGATTTGAGTTCTACTTGCCGTGACAAGTTTCGTGTTTTCTTTTTACATCAAGACCCCGACTGCTTGTGTCCTTTTACTCGGTTGAATTGCTCTGAAAGTGCGTCAGTGTTGCGTGAACCTGTATGTTTTGCTAATCCTCTGGTTTCCTACTCGTTTCAGATTCCTGGCCCTCCACCTCCTAAAGGATCCCTGGTTGAACACCAGAAGAAGTTTGACCTCTGGGCTGTGAAGCTACCATCAGCCGATTCCATTGTTGTCCGCAGAACCTTGGTAAGTCTGACACAAAATCCTCGTGGCATTGCTGGCGTTCATGAAGATGCTGAACAAATCGAAAGAAGGGAGACCTTCTGGTCAAGCGTAAAGCCCGCTCACTTTGGTGTTAAGATGGGGACAAAGTCTCTGTTGGGCATTTTTCGTGTCATTGCAGTTGGAGTCTTCATTGGGCTCTTCGGTAAGAATTCATTCGGGAGGCGGCTGCTCTTGAAATTTCCCTCTTTTTTCAGCCTTGGGTGGTTTAAGAAGAAGGGTCCAACTGAAGATGAAGTCAGCAGCGCTTCGTTCAAAATGTGGTTCGTCGGGCATGGATACAGTGATAGCAGTCTTGCAACCAGCGGAAACGCAAAACCTGATCTGGAAATAATAACTAGAGTAATTGGACCTGAGATTGGATATTTGACAACTCCAATTATTCTGGTTCAATGTGGTCTGATCCTACTGCATCAGCGTGAAAGTTTGCCGAAAGGCGGAGTTTTCACCCCTGGGATTATATTTGGCCCAACTGATCTTCAAGAAAGACTCCAGAAACATGGAATATGCTTCGACGTTATTTCAAAGAATAGCCTTCCTGCCTAGGAAAGGATACGTCTAAAACACCAACGCCCTTTCTTACATAACTTATCCATTATCCATTGGCTGAGAGACATTGCTCACTGCTATATGTATTATTGAAGTTTTTACTCCTCAAAATATTTTCTTTCTCGAACTCACAGGATGCCTCGTCAATAAAAAAATTAATAAAAAAAATCGCAGGATACAGTGGGAGAGACTAGAGAGAGAGCGAGAGAGAAGACAAGATTAATTTACTTGTAGGGAAAATGATCAATTTAATTCCCAAACTTTTTTTAATGTCAATTTGATCCTTATTTAATTTTTTTGACCAATTTAATCTCTATATTTATTTATCGATCTCAATTGAGGAACGTTGTGGCGGCGCCATCTTGTAATTTCGATCAAGCTTCTAAAGCACTTAAGCAAGGATATTTCAGGTATTTCTGATTGTATTTCTGAAGCCCCATCGACTCCCTCTCCTCCCTTGACCAGTTCTGCCTCCTCAACCTCCACGACAATCGTCTTAATGGCACTCTCAGCCCTCTTACCCGCTGTCTCAGCCTCAAGCTCCTCTATCTCTCTAGCAAAGATCTCCGGCGAAATCCCATCGAAACTCCCATCAACAGAAAGAAAAAGCCCAAAAAGAAAATTATTAATTTTCGGTAATTTCCCTCATGCTTTTACCGCGACCCATCTGCTGCTGCCTTTTGCCTTTGCCGGTAAGGTGGGCCCTGCAACTTTTAGCCTTAAGTGAGAGGACATGTAAAAACAGAAAATGTTGAAAATAATCGGAAGATGAATGCTCGTTTCTTGCAAAGATCACTTCCCAGTTTGAAACAACAATCAGGTGTCAGGATCAAGCGCTTACCATTGCACCAAAAGTTATAGCTGTTAGCGAAGGCACAACTTTATTTCCTTATCCACAATGGCAGCGCAAAGTAAAAGCTATGGCTGTTAGCAAAGACGCAACTTTATTTCCTTAACCACAATGGCAGCATAAAGCAACGTACCACGCTCGGCCAGCATGAGAGGCTGTACCCTTGGGTGCCACGGGTTGGACGGTTAGTCCCTTCGAGCCGGAATCTGAGGGATGTTGCTGATTAGGCCAACAATCCCTCCCCCAGCAACAGTCAGGGAAACTCGAACCCGCGACCTCACTCTAATACCAATTGTCAGGATCAAGCGCTTACCATTGCACCAAAAGTTATAGCTGTTAGCGAAAGTGCCACTTTATTTCCTTAACCACAATGGCAGCGCAAAGCACCGCACCACATTCGACCAGCATTGGAGGCCGCACCCCTGGGTGCCACGAGTTGGACGGTTAGTTTTTTCGAGCCGGAATCTGAGGGATGTTGCTGATTAGGCCAACATCAGGTGCTCACATTTTATCACGACCAAATAGCATCCTAGTTTGAAACAATCAAGGCTCTCTCAAAAAAAAAAAAATTTGTACTTTCCTTTTCTTTTCTTTATCGTCCTCTTTTTTTTTTTTTGTTTTTAAGCAAATTGTTTTTAAGCAATCTTTTCATTTCCTATTTTGTAGTAAGTTGTTTCTCCGATTGAGTCAAATTTAAAATCTCATTGGTTTAGCAGAAAAGACACGTCTTTTCCTCACAAGGAATATTGGAGCTAATTCCCTTTTTTGTTGCAGCCTTTGCAAAAATTTTTTTAATAAAATGCAGGCTGCCAGGCTGACTTGCCAATTTAAAACAAACAATGAATTGATTTAAATCAACAGGAAAGTTTAAACAAAAATGCAAGACCCAGAAACAAAAAAAAAAAAAAAATGGAAGTCCACAAAACAACTGGCTAATATAAGTGCAGAAGCATAGATCATACCAACGAGGCCAGAACGCCTGTCACTGCAGCTAACTTCAAGCATTTGCTCCTTGCTTTTTCTGAACCAGGTATATTAGAAGTTAATTAGACAGCGACCAAATGCTTCCTTCCTGGTAGCCTATTGTTGCGGGAGGTACTCGAGGGATGGCAGCTCACTTGCTGGGAAGAGAAGGAGTAGTTATTCCGGCGGTGAGAGGAGGGTTTATGCCAACAATGGAAGTTTAATCGAAATTACAGGGTGAAGTAACCGACATACTCGAAATGCCGACAATGATTTTATCCTCATCAATGAAATACCCGAAATACACCTGCTTAAGTGTTCAATTAGAAGCTTGATCGAAATTATAAGATGGCACCGCTGTGGTGTTCCTCAATTGGAATCGATAAGTAAGTATAGGGATTAAATTGATCAAAAAAATTAAGTAGGGATCAAATAGACCGTAAAAAAAAGAAGAAGAAGAAGGAGAAGAAGAAGAAAGTGGGCCAATCTGGCGCGTGGGGGATTATGGATTAGTTAGGAGTCCATGAGCAAAAAAGGGGGCTGATCCACTTGGCTAAATTACAATTATGACCCCGAGAGCCACCCCCAATTTCGACGAGCTTTGCTCTCCTCCTGTCTCTAATAAAATAAAAAGAAGAAAGAGATGATGTTAACAATAGGGGAAGTGTTCGGCGCATGTTAGTGGTGGTGGTGGTGGCGTTTGGCAATGACAGCCTGCAGATCCTTAGCCGGGCTCCGCATGCCACTCTCTCGTCTGGAATCCAATGCAAGCAGCTTCTGCTTCTCTACCAGACTCTCTCTTTCATCCTCTTCTCCTCTCCACTTCTTCTCCTCCTGCTCCCTCAACCCACCAGGTACTTAACTACGCATACTCATTTTTTGTTACTGCTACTCCTTACTTACTGGAGCTAATATTAATTTTTGTTCTCAAACCGCTACCACTATTCCTATCTTTTTCCCACTTTTAAATAGTTATAATTTGCTGCTTAATTTGCGCCAGCAGGGTCTGGAAACCAGTCTTACCCGGGCAGGAGGCGTTTCTATTTGAGCAGCTGTGTTGATGGAGTAGGAGCTGTTCAGCTCCAAACTTCTGCTTCTACGGTTGCCGCCGCACCTGTTCGACAAAATGTCGTCTTGGAAATTCCCCAGGATTCGTCCAGAGACACCGTCGAACAGTTGCTCTCCGAATCCAAGAGCTACCACGACCACGACGTTTCCAGACTCATGAAAATGGAACGGAAGCTCGAGGCTACCCAAAGCTCCCGCTGCGAAGGCGGGACAGACCGATGGTTCCCCTATTTAGATAACTTCAAGGCCGACAACGGTGTGTGTTTGAGCAGCGCTCAAGTGTTGGAGGCGTTGGATCCGTATATCATGGTGTCCAGGAAAGAGAGGTTTCGAAACGTGGTTAACAATCGGAGTTATTCTGTGTGTTTGGTGGTTGAAGGACTTGCGGATTTTGGTAATGTTTCTGCGGCGTTTAGGTCTGCTGATGCATTAGGCTTTCAGTCCGTTCACGTCGTCTCCTGTGAAAGTTCAAAAAGGTGCAATAAGGCCTGAGGTGATCTCTCTCCATTTTTTTTTTTGGGAAGGGGGGTGGGGTTGGGTTTAAAAATACGACTACTCCTTTTATGCTTGTTAGAGGTTAATTCTTCAATGCTTGCGTTTGGTATTCATTTCTACAGTTAATTATGTATGAATGATCTGTAATTATTATATCGGTGGATTACCTTGTTAAAAGATCAAAATTTTATTGCTTACATAGTTACATTTAAGATTGCTTCTGCTAACATTATTGTTGTTTACACTAGCTAAAATTAAATTGAAGAATGTGTTTCAGAAATTGTATCCCTGAGGTCAACAGTTCTATGCATAATCTTTTGAATCCTGTTCATTGTATGCGTTGCATTAGTTTTTCCTTGCACTCTGTGCAGGTACCGAGACAATCGGCACGTCAGCATGGGAGCTGAGAAGTGGTTGGATATTGAACTCTGGGATTCCACCAAGGAGTGCTTTAAAGTTTTGAAATCACGTGGTTATCGTATTGCTACTACGCATGTTGGGATTGATACGGTATATTCTTGAGCCTTCCCAGTTTTGCTGCTATCCAGCCTTTTCAGATTAAGGCTCTTCTTGACTGAGTATTTGGTGCTGTTTTTAGGTTTCTGTTTATGATATGGACTGGACTTATCCAACAGCAATAGTTGTTGGTAATGAGAATAAGTATGCTTCAGCTCTCACAATGTCCCGATTTGGTCTTTTAATATCTGTATTTTTACTGCCTTATTTCTTTGAGTAAATCTTATATACACTGACAGTGCATACACTATCACCGTTGGATCTATGACATATGTGCAAAAATTAAATTTTAAATTCAAATTTTGCATAATTATCATTCATTCAACGCTGATAGTGTATACACTGTCAGTGTAGGAAATATTAATCCTATTTCTTTATCTTATTTTATTGTTTATTGATTTATTTTGCATAAAATAGAATTCATGATCAATAACTCCCATCAAAGATTGTTGTAATGGATCAAATGCTCAGGTTAAACATAGCAGGTCGCTGTCTGGATCTTTTATACCTTTTCTACTAATCTTTTCTACCAATGTGTCTCTTTAAGTGTTGATTTATGAATAAACCTAGTTAGAAAGTGGTGACGACAAAAAAATGCCCCATCTTTCCTGTGGCTGTTTACTCTGGCACAAGTTAGAAAGTACGCAATGGACTAAAACTTCTTCTCGAACACATCGTGTTCTCACTTATACCATTTGACAGACTATGTCACATTATGACTGCAGGGGTATAAGCGATGAGGCTCTTGAACTGTCGGATTTGCGTTGCAATATTCCAATGAATGGCATGGTTGATTCTTTCAATGTTTCAGTTGCTGCTGGCATAGTTATGCACCAAGCCATCTGTAACAGGAATTCTAGGATGGTAATGATTTTATTTTGCTGCATCCTACATGCTAGAGGCAAGTATGTTTGTAGGAATTTTAGTCTGGTGACGATATATATTTGATTTACTGATCTTTCGAATGGTCTGATAATTGGGTGTCAATTTGCTATTTTTAGTAGATGGTAATATGAGAAACTGGTTAGAGATACATGCTATGAAGGTTTTTTGTTGTTTTAAGCTGGTAAATGAAAATAGACTGACTAAAACGTTTGCTGATGTCTTTCCTGGTAGGGTTGTCATGGAGATCTGACATCGCAAGAGAGTCAAATTCTGCTTGCGGAGTTCTTTTTGCGCCACAGTAAGAGTGCAATTAGTATTGCAAATGAATATTCTAAGCGGAAGCTGGACCAGCCTATATCAAAGCTCTGAATAAACGACAATTTGTTTCCATTTGTGGCAAAACTACAGACTCATAACCCCGAGAAGGTATTCTGTGGTGCTTCGAAGAACCGCATACCAAACCTCCAGAACCAAAACCCCCCCCCCCACCCCACCAAAAACAAAAAAAACCCCCCTTTCCCCAAACCCTAGAAAGAGCAGCATACACCCACGCAGACTGGTTCAGCGGCTTGTCTTAATCAGAACAAAATGCGAAAACTTTTTGCTTCTCCCAGTGATGGTTAAAAATGAAGCGAGGCATACGAAAGGATGCACGTTGTTGGGCTATGCCAAATGAAGGTAAATCATTTTGGATGCATTAGCTCTCCGAGAAAATGCTCATATCTTAAGAGTTAACAATGTCAAGGAATCCTCGGTTGTACTGAACAGAATAAACATGTTGAACATTGACCGCCTATTATTCTGTGACTCGTTTATGCAATGATTTTCAATGTACAACGAACTACAGTAGAGAAAATTGCAAAATGTAGCATAAAATCTTTGCATACCACCTTTTTTTTTTTTTTTTTTTCTCTTTTAACTGAAGTTTATGTAATTGATGTATTGTTGTCCTTGATGAAGAAGTGTCCAGTTCTTTCCATGTTGCTACCACATGTCACTCTTGCTTCTATGGAACTAAAATTATTTCTGGTATTTTGGTCTGTTTCTTTGACCTCACACTAACCTCTTCTTATTGAGGTCGCTGAGACTGTTTTATGGGCATAGGTAAAGGTAGCAAAAAGGATAATTGGATCATTCGTGGAAAAATCTAAATAGTTTATGAATTGAATGCATCCAATCCACTCCAAACCGATGTTGATAGTTTGGACTTTAATGGGTGATGGTTTTCCAACTGTCTACTTTTTTTTTTTTTAATTTTAATTTGATAGGACCAATTTCTTGCCCTATTTATCTCAACACGTAGAAGTCAATTTTGCATCCCAAACTATCAAGAAGATCTCATCAGGAGGTATCAATTTGAGGCCAACTTGAAAATCCTCCTCCATCAGCAACCAAAATATGAACTAAAAAATAATGCAATGATCTTCCTTTTAGCAGGACATTTTACACTCAATTTAGTCCAAAAGAAATTGCATGATTTAAATAGCTGTTTTTTTTTTTTTTTGTATAGTTCACATAGACAAACTTCAAAGGTAGACCCAGAGAGAGCAATACACAGTCTTCCATTGTTGATCACACGAGATGGTGAAGAGAAAAAGGATACACAGTCTTCGAAGGATGTAAGACTGAAGAAGATCAGATTTGTCTTTCATGTTTTCTTTTTTGTTTTTCCGGATTTTTTTTTAAAAAAAATAAAGAATGTTGGTAGATTATATGGACTATCTACTAAAAACCATCCAAGTTTTACATGGATAACCATTAGGATCTATTAAGATTTAGGATAGATCCGCAACCATTTAGTGAGATGGATACGGCCGATATAATCGAATTGGATCAAAATTGCCACCTCTAGGCGCAGGTATTAATTTGTGTCAAGCTCGACTCATGCAATGCTACAAAGCCCATCCTCAATGCCAGAGTACACCCAGTGATCCATAATCCTTACTAATGAAGCGTGCACGGTTCGAGCGCCTTCTGACCCATCTTTTTTTTTCCAGTCAACCCGAATGCAGCGAATTTGAAAAATGCAAAGGGAAAAAGAAAAATCACCCGTGCTATAACCTCATAATTGATTTACAGGGTCCAATATCAACACATGCTGCGTTACGAGTCAACATATCCACTGACTGCTAATGCACAACAAGACTATCATTCACAATATCAGGAATGTGCAGAATAATATGCTACTCAATTAAAGACGTTGTATCAGTCGTTTGTATTGTTGCCTTGATGTTCTGCAAACTCAGATCTTCCCCACTCTTCTTCAATTTATTGGACAGGACAAATTCTTCAATTCTCGCCTTTAGCTCGGTGTCGGGAATCAACATGTCCGCAGTAAGATGAGAGCGGTTAAACGGGTCCGTCTGCAATTAAGAACAGGCAAAGTTAACATTAACAATTACAAATTATGTACAGTTGATGAAGCAAGGGTTCGGGAGTACATTATCACTTAAAAGATGCCTCTGGATAACCGGCCGGTCAACCGTTATCTTTGAAGAAGGTAAGATGACAGGATCCCTCATTAAAGTATACTGCAAGGCAACAAGCCACAGACAAAAAGAAGCGTTGAAGAAATTGAATGGCAGTATAGTATATATCTAGCACATATCCACCTCAGCCTCACATCTAACACTTACTTGAATTGGGTCAAGGAAATCATCAGGTATCTCTCCAAGTGCTGCTTCAGCATCCATGGCCTCTGCTGCTGCAGCTTTAGCTTTTGCACCAAGGTCAATGAATTCCTGTATGGTCCTCGCATCCTCTCCAATTCTCCTAAGGACATCAGCTGCAGCACTAAATAACTGGGGCATGTAAAGAGATTTCATGTAATTAGACACCAAAATAATCATGAAGTCAATTTGTAGCAAAAGAAAATTAAGAAGAAGCTGATTTTTTATTTTAGATGAAAATACCTGCTCATTGTAGGACCGCCCATCTCGGGTGATAGCAGCCGGGAAAATTTTCTGCTTGTCTCCTCTTGCCAAGTTGACATATATGTTTACAATCTTGAAAATGTAAAGGATACCATCAGAACACCTTTTACCCCCAGGGAAATGAAAACACACAGACGGGCACAGATACGCACAGAATTTACTAGTTAAATATGCAATCAGTAGCACTTTGGCAAATAGAAAAATCAGAGGAACATAAGCTCACTGATCCTGCAGGAACTTTCTCAATCCAGATTATTCCTGCTTTTTCATTTTGGCCAAGGCAGCATAATCAGGGGGCCTTATACTTGAAGTATGCACTTCTATGTATCTCCATACACATTATCAAACCACACTGGACACGTATCTGGAATATATGCCAGCTCCCAACCAAGTATGTGGTTACAAGCGAGTACACAACTAAACCCACTACCAGATTACGAATAACTATTGACAGCCTCGACTATATTCAGCAATAATAAGCAAAATTTTGCTATGTCTTCACACAGTTTTTGGAAAGAAAGGATTACATAATCCTTCAGATAGTAATCAGTAAGATTCGATAACCCTCAGATGTTTGACTAACATATTAGCCATATACGAATATTCACATGCAAAATTAGCTTCCGAGCCAACCTGCTTAAGCAACTGCTTTGGACGAAATTCGTACTTTTCAGGATCTTTCAAGGTGAGAGATTTCCTTTGGGGCCCAACTAATTGCAACAGAAAATAATTCAGCATGCTGGCAACTCTCTCAACCTGGAAAACAAGAAACTTGCCAATATGATAATTATCAAAAAGAATATGATAACTGTATCTGGAAACTAGGCAACAAGTAAAGAAGAAGACAGTACCATCTCAGGAAGTAGGAAAGGAGCAGTAATCTGTTCTGAAGTAAAAGCCAGCATGCTCACATCTTCATTTGCCAATTTCATGTCGATTCGAATAATCTACAAACATCGTAGAATTTCAGTTTTCAAAGAACCATGTTTAAATTCAAATAAGAAAACATAAAGATTGGCACTGACATTCTCTTGAGAATGAAATTGTCGAGTCCTCTCCTGCCTCTCTTGAGCAGGTCTTCGCTCCCATTCCACAGTATTAGACATCTCAGCTTCCAATTCTTTCAGTTCAAGAATTTTGTTGAGACTTTCATCAAGAAGATAAATACTATCATTGATTAAAAAGTTCAAGTAGTTCAAATAAACGCCCTTTTCCTCCTCTTTAGCAATCTGTAACAGCACACTAGATTTTAGCACATTTTTACTTTATTAGAAAATCAAAAGCCAGAATGCAAAAATTCAGTCACAAGATTAACCTGTCGCCATGCATTTCGGTGACTTGGCACTTGCCATAGATATTCAAGAAGCTCAGCAATGTTATGGCGGATGTTAAACTTGTCATAAAACTGCAAATGGCAACCAGAAACAGGAAATCAACAGGGAAAATTGAATGTTCATAATATGCATCAGCAGTCTCAAAATTCTCAAATAAAAGAAGACAGCATGATATTGAAAAGATAAAGATAGTGGAACACAAAATTCAGAACCAAACCATCACTGTATTCTCCCAATAAACAAGTGTCAATAGTCATGCACAAATCCTTCTTTTTTTATACTTTTCCAATATAGTAGGGCCAGCATGCATGAGACACTCAAAAGGCAGTTTCACAGGCTAAGTAAGTGGTCCAGTGATAGCCTCCTTCCTGTTTAGTGAGCAATAAACACATTTTTTTGAAAAAAAAAAAAAAGAGAAATAAAAAATTGAGAAGAACCTGAGTATGGGAACCAGTGAATTCGATGTCAACATAAAGCTTGAGAAGATTCCTGACAAGATACTCCAAAGAGAGTTGATGCCCTTCGAAAAGAGTAGCTGTTGCAGATGAACCACTGAAATACCAAAATATTAACCAGTGAGTATAATTAAGAACAAAAGAATAAATGAAATCAGCATTTTCATCAGTTTAGAATGGTTTTCCAAAGATCACCTTCTACGAGGCATCCAACAGTTGAGTACCTCTACCATCTTGGCTCTTAGATATGGGTTTCTTATGAACTCAGGACTTGCCATGAACATGATAATGAAGTTCATAAAATCATCCTTCAAGAAAATTGAAAAGAATAAACAAAATCAGACACTCAATAGGATTTTTAATCAGAACAAAGCTAATGAAAAATAATGTGAAACCTAAATCAGGATAATATATTATTGTACCAGCACAACCCCATCCAAAGCTCTAGGAATACGAGAAGCAAATATAAGCAACTCCATGGCATCTTCCACAAAGTGCTCAGGCATAGCAGCAAATTCCATTGGACAAGTTGATGGCAAAGGCATTCCAAAGCCCCCTGCAAGGCCAACCAACCAGACCACCATTAACTGGTAGAAAGATAACGCACGCTGAAGAAGCCCTCCATCCTGTACGTTGAAAGAAAAGTATCATTACAGCACTGTTATGCCATAAGCCAAATCCTAAGGGAATGAAAAGTTGAGAGCCATTAAATCTCAATCCTGATGGCAAATATTCCCATTGCAAAAGCCTACAAAAAAGCACATTCACAACAATAGAAGCAATACTAAGTTGTACCCTCAGTATTTGAGCTTCATAGCATAGCTTTTCCTGCGAGTACAACTCCATTTCTTTCTCAAGACGATCTATATCCTGCTGTAGTTGTGGAGAAGGTGCTTGGCCTTGCATTGCTTTCATGGTGGATAACGTATCTTCACATCTTGAAATGTCCTGAAAAGAATTTGATAAGAGAACAGCATAACTCTACTTAAATAGACAGGAATTCACTTTGTTTTCATAGAGGAAGCACAAGTTCTGTCCTCCTCTCAGTTGCACGGGAATGGGAAGGGGCTTGTGCGAGAGAGAGAGAGGTGGGGGTGGAAGCACTCATTTATGCTAGAAGTAGCCATGGTACATGAGAAGAGAAATCCACTGATCAGGATACACTATTGTAGATACGGTGCTCGAAAAAGGTGGGCTAACTGCAAAGATCTAATAATTACAATGACATAGCCAACTTGAACTAGATCACTGAACACTACATTTCTTCTTCCTGGATCCTGTCAGCTTCAAGGAAGATGAGTGTTATTGATAGAAGGAATTAGAAACTTGAACTAGATCACTGAACACTACATTTCTTCTTCCTGGATCCTGTCAGCTTCAAGGAAGATGAGTGTTATTGATAGGAAGGAATTAGAATTCCACCAAAACATCACCTATATCCTCCCGCCAAAAAAAAGAAAAGAAATAGGTACGACAATATGCTTGTCTGATGGAAAAAATAGGCACAAATGAACAAGAAAGAAAAGGAAAAAAAGGAAAAAAACTGTTTTCATCTTCCCTGGTGTATTAAGGTATTAGTGCATTACCTGAACAAGATGCTTAAAATCTGAAAACGCTTTTAGCAGGCCCAAATTGAGCACCCTTGCCGTCATAAAGAAGCATTCACAAATGAAAGAAAATTTAGCATTTTTGCTGCAATGTGACATTGGTTTGTCATCGTTGAGTGAAGAAGGTCCGCCAACATTACTACCAGAACTAGTAGCTTCCTGAGAATGCAGCAACCTGTTTTCTCCATCAGTACTTCTACTAGGATTGCTTCTGCTTATCCATTCAGATACTTCTTCAGATGATGCATGAAGTGCAGTCAATCCTCTGTTACAGGGGGTAAGCAACAATCAGGGACACTTGATCGATCCTACAATAATTAAGTAAGAACCCTTTCCCATTTTGGGTTGGAGGCAATATTTAAAATGGTTCTGACCTTAATTCCAGACGGGGGCTACTGAATACATATCTGGGATCAACTTTGTCCCTTTTTGACAAACTGGCATCCAAAAATGGCTCACAGAGCAGAAGCATTACAGCACTGAGGTTCACAAACATCCCTGAACTTGCAGAAGACAATGGGTCAACCTGTTGACCAAAAATTTGATGTTCAAAGTTCAAATAGTGAACAAGTGGCACTGGAAAAGGATGCCCAATCCCAATAAATATGACTAAGAACAAAAAATCTCTGAAGTTTCTAGTTCATTTGATCTCAAACTGACTAATCCAATGCTAAGAGAGACGCACTGCAAATGCCAGTTGATATGGGGTTGAAGAGATGCTTACCTGGATATGAGCCCTTGAGGCATTTTTATTTATCACCTCAGCTAGGTATTCCAGGACATTCTCACGAGTACTTGTATTCTTAAGGAGACACCTTAGAACTTCAGCCAACCCATCATATAAATTGTTCATAACAGTTTTGATTGTCGTGAATGAGGATAAAAGATCAGCTGGACGGCGGGTAGATGATTCTGAGAAGCATTGCTGGCTGATGATTTAAAATTGACAAAACTATCAGTCACGCTACATATCTAATAGAGCATTAAAAAGCTATAGTTTCTCATCTGTACCAATAACGACAGATTAATAGAAAAGAAATACTTGATGATTTCTCTAAGTGCATTGGTGTGGTGAAATCAGATTATGCATAACAGACAAAAAAGGGGAGCCAATGTTAGATCGTTCCTAATTATCCATGCCATTAAGAGGGAGTAGAAATTTAAATTAAAAGCCTTACCTCCCCAAAAAACACGGTGAACACACAAAAACAAATGAAGGAACAAACAAATAACAAGAGCAACATTGAAATATTTCCTGAATTTAAATCTCCAAAAAGGTTATAAGGTCTGCAGAGACATTTTATGACTATATTTTGCGGACATTGACAACATTCAGCAAATTAAGGTGTAGCATGCCACTAGTTAATCAAACAAACATCAGCATCATGTTTGACTTAATAACTCACCATAAAGCACATCTTTTTTCTAGTTCAAATAACCACGAACCTGTAAAAACTTCATAAAAACAACTTCAAAACTATGAAAAGCATAGTTCAAGACGGCTATTCAATTACCAAGGAAAGTAGGCAATGAACCAACAAATAGTGTTGCATACAGGATAGAGATAATAGCATCATAAAAGTGTAAGTAGAGATACCCAATACATCAATCATTACCCAGATAATCTTGCATGTGTTTCAAAAACAGAAGTGAAAAAACATTCAAACTCACCCAACATCAGGTTGACTCTTGAAGATAGTATGATCAGGTAAAGCACTAACATGAAAGAAAGGGCCGAGAATGCTAGTCATCTCGATAACTCTCCCATTCAAATACATGCCCTTGGGTATCCACCAAGGATGATTAACCAATGCCTTCGACCCCACTGGATAATTAACTAACATCAACAATGCCCTGAGAGGCTGCTGAGAATTCCCCAAAGCGGAAACCTTGAGCACACTTCCTCTTAAATCCTCATACAACTGCTTCATAATAGGCTCCATACTATCATAATCTCCATCCCTTAAAAACTCCTCCAAAAACCCCGGCGGACTCGACACTCCTCCGCTGCTATCGAATCCATCCACAGCCGTAGAAACCTCCGAAAAAATCAAAGGAAGCAGCGGGGAAACACTCGACTTATTGGTATCCCAATTCGGGAACATGTCAGGATTACCTAAATGAATCCTGCAATACGAGGCCGCTAGCTTTTTGGCTTGTTTCGCTACTAATTCCATCTCGGACCTAACATTCTTATCTTTCATTGACGTTATCTTTCTCCCTTCCTCGTAGGCTCGCCGGTAGCAATTGATCAGGTACTGAAACGGCGGTTCGGCGGCGACATAATTTCCGGAGAGACGATCGATGAGAATCCGCTCCATTAAATCCCGAGACAATCTCAAATCTCTCCCTTCGCTGAGTATTTCAGCTGCCGTCATCTCCAAGTAAACCACTCGCGAATCATTTTCCATGGAATCAATTAAGCTCACCAGAAATATTTTTCGAAGAATAATATCTTCGATTTCCTCCGGCGTCCTCTGCGGCTTAGACGTCGCCATTGATTAAAAATTTTGCAGCTAGCTAAATATATCTGTAGATGCGGGAAAAAAATAAATACTATAATCTAAGCTGAGAATTGAAATTAGGTTTTTCTTTCGTTTGGTTTAGTCTACAAGGTAAAAGAAAGAAGCAGGCGAACATGGAGAAATCGATGTTTGGAGTCGTGAACAAATACGGAATGCTTCCCCATGATTATAAAATTGATGGAGTACCGACTTGAGCAGCTTTTAACTGAGGTTGGAACTCTCAAGTAAACGGGACAATTTCTCGACGTGAATTATTATTATTATTTTTTTATATATAAACTACGCTTGACCCTTTCCTAACAAACACCTTCCTGATTCTACTTGGACTACTGCTCTACTTGACGCTCTGGAGTGGTAACAAATAAGTATATCCAATCTGCAGTAAATTTTGGTAAATTATCGTAGTTTACTTTGGGTGGATGTGTGTCATGTTGTAAGTAAAGGAGTATTTCAAAACAACTTGTCCCATATAAAAAAATCAAAGGGATTTCTTATCACTTTATAATACTTAATTCTTTATTGGATTTGTGTTAGATAGGTAACTAGTGTGGGCTCGTGCTCGTGAGAGGGAAGTTGAGTTAAGTCGTTTCAGTAGAAACTAACGGACTTGCACTCTCTCCTATGCATGGGTTAAACAGTCCAAGATAGTTTTCTTGTAGTTATTTTTCTTTTTTCTGATCCTTCTTATTTAATTTTGAGGAAACATTTCAAGCTTCTGAAACAGTTTCTTTTTTCTGATCCTTTTTGTTTATAATAAGAAGAAGCCTTGTTTAATTTTGGAAAAACATTTCAACCTCCTGAAATAGTTTTTTAAGACAGTGCTTAGCACGACTCAAGTTTCATTTTATTAGATTTAGTTAACATTATTTTTTGGCTATTTTTCCTACACATCAGTCATCAGATGAATTGATATTTTGCAATCATCAATTTATTCACTTGCTAAACAAACTAGGAAAAAAAAAGGACTAGGAGATAGTTTCCTTTTTTTTTTCTCCCCTGAAGTTGATGGTGTCATGTTAATTTTCACATGATGTGGTAGTTTATCTTTTACACACCGCTAATAAAAGACAAAAACATTGATGAACGTGAAAATTGATAATAACTTGAACATTAGTAGATTTTTCTTTGAGCGACAATTATATTTCGTCTCGAAATATAATTGTCGCTCAAAGAAAAATCTACTAATGTTCAAGTTATTATCAATTTTCACGTTCATCAATATTCTTGCCTTTTATAAGCAGTGTGTAAAAGAAAAATTACCACGCGTAAAGATTGGAATTTAAAAAGCGATGAGGGGAAGATGGAGATTATAATTCAAAACCTCAATTCTTAGTGTTGAATAATTTTAACATAACAGTACTTACAATACAACAAATCAAGAAAGTCAGCATACAGATTCATCATTCATACAAGCCAGCACCCATTACGTCGGACATTTTTTTGTTTTTCTTAAAAGCAAGATCTTGATGTTGGACTTCAATCGCGAAAGGTAGTGTAAAAAAAAAAAAATGCCTCTGGTTGCATTGCAAGGGGAAAAAAGAAATATTCCAAGGATGATCATTGTTATGTGCTACCAAGAGTGTATTCTGAGGAGATGGATAAAAAACTTCCTGTACAACCAAAATCATCTCCGTAAGTAGTAGATTCTAATTACAAAACTTGTCAGCTATTACCGTCCATGATGAAAAACTTAGACGGAAGCACACCTATATAGCATGGACCAATAATGCCCACATCACTTGGGAGTAACATCTCAGGGAATTGCTTTCTCCATTTGCCCGGGACAGGAGGAGGGCAGGAATGCAAAAGAAGAATTACTGCTACAAGAAATGAGGAAATTTAAGGAGGTCGATCAGGAAGACGTCACTTCCAAAGGAAAAAGGATAAAATCCTCGTGTTAATAATAATCACAGAGATCAGCATCATTTGACCCAGGAATGCAGCAGCAGCTGACATTTGCAGGACCGAAGAACAACTCCAAGCAGAACGCAGGGCCGCTTATTGACCTACCTTTCTTCCCAACCTTGTCCAAATCCGACAAAGTAAACTGCAAGTTTTCACCATGGAAACAAACACCGTGTTATCTCTTCAGCCACTGTCACAGATTCAAGATAACAAAATAATTCTTCCTAGAAAGTATGTTAGCAGATCTCAATGATCTGCTACTTGCAGCTGATTCTTGATACTATGTTCATTGCTACCTGGAGTAGACTGCTTTTGATGAACGCTGTATTGAAGCAACAATAGAAGAGACGCCCCCCAATCAGCTTCTCATAGAATATTATGCGAACATCTCCAGTGACCTTTGCAATTATAACCAATGCATGAGTACTAGATCAGTGTTTACAAGGCCATGAACACACCAAAATCTTTGAAGGAAAAAAAAATGCACACACGAGAATGTTAAAAGCAACTTCTGTATCTAATCAAAATGAAACTGCAGGATTTCAGTCACAAAGAAACACAAATTTTGGTCTGTCCTACTCTTTATCCACTCCAGTGTAATTTATTGCCTTTAACAAGCTACGGTATAAAAGTTCCTGGCGGATACTTGGTGCCTGTCCAATTCTTTTATTTTTACTTTCATATTCAGTTTCACCAGCTTATCGTATAGATTATAATGGTTCTTCGACGTTTGAGTCTGTTCAAGTCATATTTGACGGAATGATGTATTCTTTAAAATAATTCCAAAATCTTACTCGTACTGGATTATCATAATAGCAGCCAAGACAGGTTTTCCTATAGAGAATTGAACATTCTGTGTCCATTTGTGCTACCAAATGAGCTTCCCGCTTGTCTGCATCTGTTTCCTCGTTATCTTTGTCAACAAAGGAGTAATAATATCGTGGCCTGTTTGTTCGCTGAAATCCATCCTTGATCTTTCTGCAGCAACTCTTGGAAACTTCTACAGGGCGATAATACCGCTCACCATGAACCTGTTTTAAACAGGAATAACCAAACTCTCATCGACCAATGAAAAATGCAAAACATGAAGATTACAGAAAAGTTGCAAAGAAAGAAAAGGATAAACGAAGAGGAAAGGAAATAAGAGACTCAAGTTCTCTAGGGTAGAAGGGTATCACAACATGTTTTAAGTTGTCTTGTTTTCAGCTAGATCTATACAATTAAGAAGCCATGAGATAAAAAAGATAATCAAACGAAAAGGGAGAAAGTGGTTGACTCACTTCTTTCTTAAATTGCTATCTAAGCATGTATATAACACATGCAATGAAGAAACTCTTGTACTTCCTCTTTTGTTAATTATTCAGGATCATGATTGAACGTCAACATTAGGGTGTGATACACTAATTTAGAAGCATCCATCTACTAAAGACTCACTGTCCTCAGTTTGTGTCTTACATTTTGCAGCTCAGAGACCACGCAGAATACAGAATCGACATGTTGCATGTCATACAGTCGAATTCTTATAAGTTCTCTTGTCACTGGCTTGGGCAAGTTCACGTCAGGAGGGCCGTGTTGAAGACTCTTCGGAAAAGAAAGTAGTTTCTCCCAGTAGTTGACGTAGCGACGCTGGCTTGGTATAGAGACCTGTTCAGCACAATCATCCTAAGATTGACTAATTTCAAGTATTGTCTGAAGAAGACGAATGTAAAACGTAAACGAAAATCATCCTTTGGATGCTGCAGAAATGAAGATTGAAAAACTTCTAGGCTACATGCCTGACCCTTCTGGTTTGCATTGGTGGGTGAGAGAAGTTTGTCAATGATAATGTGCCTGAGATATGCATCAGCAGTAATTGATGTTTGTGAACAAGTTCAAAGATTTAAACCACTTGAGAAGTTACTCAAACCAAATTTTTTCCACTAAAAGGAAATGTGGTTTGAGGATAATCAACAAAAAGAACCAGTTTTTTTTTTCTGAGAAGATGGAAAGCCAACGCATCAGATGGCCTAGGAGCTGGGAAAGACAACGAAATTTAAATTATAGCAATGAAAAAATAGAAGGAAAGAGAATAGTTGAACTGATGTAGCAAGTTTAACTCTCCCCAAATTCTCTCTTTTGAACTTCCAGATGTCTTGGTTCCAGCCACACTTTCTGATGAAGAAATCACTAGTCAATTTTTGCAGATTGCTCCAGAAGTAAACCAATTTAAACTTGCTCAAATTTCAAAAGTGGCTGGCATTATTGGGTTTTGTTTTGAGATGGTAAACATATGCATGTGCATTCAGTAACTACCTAGATTTGTATGAAATGAAAATTTTAGTAGTATGCTTATTTGAAACCAGAAGGTTGATCGTTAAATAGGTGAACAACATGATGCTAACAAGTGTCAACTGATACAACAAAGAGCATAACTTCTTTGTCACAACTGCTATGACTTACTCCTTCATTGTTCGTGGTTCGCTTCTCTCCATACACCTGCAGAGCCTTCTCTGCTGACATGCCCATGTAAACCAAATATGAAGAAACCATTAAGCCTGTTCGGCCTTTTCCTGCCTGCAGATTTCCAAAGCATGATAAGTATGAAGAAAATTGTATCAGAAACAGGAAACTGCCATTTTAGTGCAGTATGGATTACTTTCCAGCCTGGGATTCTTGATAGAAAAAAATAGATGTGTTTGGATAGCTCATTACTTGCAAAAATTTATTTGATTGCATCATGAACAAATTTTCCAACCACCTTTTCATCTCACATACATTACATCAAAGAAAGTGCTACAGTGTATTTTTTTAAAAAAAAAATTATCCCAAATAATCTCCTATCAATTTGCCACCTTATAGATGAGAATGATCTTCAAAATTTGTTACCCTTGGGCAGTTCTTATAAATGTAAAGCAACCACGTGATATGTAGACTGCATTGCGATCTGTGACTCTCAAAGTTTTACAAGGAAAAATATGATATTCTTATCTAGGCACCTGTAAGGATCAAACTACATTCATTTTATAGCTCAAGGTATCATTGACAATTAATCCAATATAAAGAACACCATGAGAAGTTAGTTCTTGGAAAAAATAAGACAGCCTGTTGAACTGGTTTACTTTTTCCTTCTTTGTAAGTACACGGACCAATAAACTGCTAGTGTTGAAACCTTTCTTTCTAATGTACATAGCAGAAACATGCTCAAGTCATTAAGCCCTACATAAGGCATAGAAAAATACACGAAGGGAAATTAAAAGAATTTCATTGAAGATTTTTATGCAGATATAGCAGACAATAATCTAAAGCATGCAACAAACCATGCAGTGTATGACTGCAACATTTCTGGGGTCACTTGATAGCCACGAATATACATCTTCACAGAATTCCTTGATCATTGGGAGAGGTGGGACATGGTTGTCATCAAATGGAAATCTCTCCACACGACCATGAAAGTGTGATGGATCATAAGCTTCTTCAATGCATAGGTTATAGACCTGTAAGTGACAACATTGTAGAATCAGAGACACAAAAGATTACTTGAGATAATAAATATCCATTTGTTTATGATGTGAAAGAATTAGAAAATCAGATATGTTACAAAATAATGCAGAAAAAGTTTGTAAAGGGATTGAAGATGGTAATGCTCAACAAACATGAGACAGTATGTTTTATCAGCAAACCAGCAACTATGTTTTACTCAAAAAAGTTGCTATTTACCAATGCTTATATGCAGATGGGTTTGACCTGTTCTATTGAGTAGCAGCAGAATATTGTCTTTCATCATATTAATTAGCTTATAAAAGAACTCCTCATCACAACAGCAGAACAGCTTGAGGACCTGCATTGATCCTGAGATACGAAGATCAGGGTTCCAGAACTTTTAGCTCGTGCTAAGGATCAAATCATACTAACCTACTGGTTCTGAGGAAGCAATAAAGTAAAAACTAGATATGAACTTGCTCACAAGAGTTCAGCACAAAGGTAAAATGTTCTAGCATGACAAGTAAGATAAACTAAAGCAACTGATAAAGCAACTGATGGGGCCAAAAGTAGTAAGCCGATAAACAGAAGAAAATAATATAAAGGATTCCTAGTGCTCACCTTGTAATGCTCCGGATGTCTCATATCCAGCACAGACTTAACCTGCCATAAAGGATTTCGGTACACAGATCGCATGCGTTCAGCAGGAAACGACATTGCCAGTATCCTATCTGTTATGTAAGTCATATCGAGATCATAACCGCCAACTATCATTCTCCTCCTCTGCTTTGATACCAGGTTACGTATGTAGAAACTTGTGGAGAGAAAATTGATCAGTTTGTTGTGGACATGGACTAAGCCCGGGTCTCCAGTCCTAGGCAGCCCATGTCTGGAGAACTTTAACCCCATTTATCTGCATTATAAAGGTTACCAGTGAATAGCAATAAATAATGAAACCATCTTTCGACCTTTAGGTAAAAATGAACCTCGCTGAGCTGAAAAGCTCAAATTTTGAAGTCGAAATAGGGAAAGTGGTAAGACAAGCAACAACTGGGACCTCATTGAGTAGAAAAGAAAAATTATGCCTAGTAATGCAATAACAGAGCAGAGGAGATTTTGTTTGGCAGAATGGTCAAATTTCTTTCACTATTTTATTCAGTACCTGCTCTTTTTGTGTAGCGAATTAAGCAACTTTACTATTCCTGGAGAGGGATGTATCCTTTTGTATTACCAGATGTGGACATATGAAAACAAAACTATAAGCAAAAGATGAAGGTGCATTTCTTTAGTCCTGTCCCGGAAACTGACACCATCAAAACCTGATGGACATTGTGATAGCAAGCATTGCTTCCTGGGGAAAACATATTGTTGGGGCTCCATCAGAATTAAGACTTTTTAACATTTTAACGAAAAAGATGTCACCCTAATTGCCTGAGAGATGGATTTTTTGAACAGAACCATTAAGATCAACAAGCTTGACCTCAAATGTTAATCTTCCGATCACGAACCACGCATTTCTTCGCAAAGCGATTGATTCTGCCGAGATCGCTAATGAAGTATATAATAAATCAAGAAAGTTCTCAAAACAAAGCAGCAGAGAGAAATGTACCAATTCTATCGGACATAGAGGCTCCAAGATGACGTAAAATCTTTTCAGATTTTTTTTTTCCTTTTCAGATTGTTTATGAGAATGCTACGAAGGTAAGCGAAGTGGTCCAAGAATCAGAAAACAAATGAGATTCTTGGACCGAGGATGGTACGAGGGGCGAACCCCAGAAAACTTCTAATAATTCTGTCGAAGTATGATTACTATGGTAGGAAGCGTTGGAGGGGCAAGAGGAGGAGACGCTGACGGTGTCCATCTTAATTTAGCAAGTAAAAAAGATTCTTTTTTTCCCGATTCAATTCAATACGCTAAATTAGGAGTTTTTGAGTTCTTTGCCACAGACACTTCGGACAACTCCCAAACTTGTAGGGAAAAGGAAAACGCGCCGTAACTGCGGGCAATTATACAACACGCATCAGAATTGAGTTGTTCAATCAGCCATGGACGATCCCCCAGTTGGCCATCCTGAGTCTGGGTTTTCGCCGAGTCAGGGTGCATCATAGAAGAATATATTGGAGCTGACGTAACTCATTGAAAAGAACTTTATAGACTTTTTAATAAAAGTATTTATTAAGTATTTAAATGCTTTTAAATATACTTTTTCTATAGAGCTTTTAATAAAACTATTTAGTAAATACTTTTAAATATATTATTTGGAAACATAATTCAATAAGTAGTTATTATATTGGGATTATGGTAACTTATTGAAAAATACTTCCCTAAGAGAGTTTCTAATAAAAGTATTTGTTAAGTGTTTAAATGTTTTTAAATATACTTTGAAGACGTAGTTCACTGAGTGCTTATTATATCGGATAATATGTAATTTAAAAATTCTTAAATATATTTATATCTTTATTTAGTTTATAATATAGGATAAAATAATTAAATTTATTTTTAATTTTTTAAATTACAAAAATTACTTTAAAAGTACCAAATTTAAATTTTTGTTAAAAGCGCTTTTCACACCGAAAATTCTATTCCTAATTTTCCTAATTTTATAAAATGATGCTCACCATAGGCTTCAAAAGTACTTTTGATCTGATCAAAACTCAAAAGTACCGCAATCCAAACAAACAGTGCCACGCGCTTCTCTTTTGTTTTTAGCAAACAACGGTAGCATGTCGTTCTTTACCTTTTTCCGTTTTATTTTGCGAATTCACGAATTTGCCTGTCTTGCTTACTTAGGCAACGGAACCATAGTTCTTGTCCCTGAACTCCGTATATCCTTCAGTTTTTCCTTTGGAGAATAACTTTTGCATGAACAAAGTACCGTCATTAACTCAATTTACAATCTATTTGATCAAATTATCCGTAACAAAAATATATGGGGCCAAATAAAAATATTTATTTCATTACTTAAATTTCACGAGTTAGTCCGCATGGAAATCTGTAACACATGATAATACAAATGTTAACTCCATAGCCTTTTATTGGATGCAAATTATACCACTCCATTAGTCCAGGTGATCATGAGGCCTAAGTGACATGAAGAACGCTGCGCAATGCCGGAGCCGACGCTGGCTGTCATTGCCTCCGTTTTCCAACATCAATTGATTCGTTGAACCCCTAGCCCTGGTCTTGTAATGTCTCCAAGCAATTTGTATATTCACAGCAGCCCAAGTCCTCCAGTTTGATGAGTAATATCTTGCCGTTTGCTTAAGGTTCTTATTAGCAAAATGGAACCGGAAATGATTGGTGATATATCGAAAATCATCAGCATCAAGAGCATATGCTTCTGCAGGTTCGATACAAGTAAATGTAGCAGATGAAGCCGGGAGTCTATCAACAACTGGGCGTCGAAGACACCATGACAGCAGCTCATCGCCTAGAAAGCTTCCGGCTTCCAACATGCTATTGGCTACCACGCCTTTGCCAAGGCTTTGGCTCCTTCTGATGCGTCCGTCTACAATGAAAATCATCCTCTGCACTGGATCTCCTTCCCTAATAATCTGTGATTGAAAACGTGATATTGCTTACATATAAGAGCTATTATTTTGAATGTCTGAGACCAAGTGTCTCTGTGTGTGTGTGAAATACTTGCATTTTGCACATATAATTCTGTTTTCTCGAGGTTAATTTTGCATTTAACCTATTGAAATGCTCAATCTGGTTACATTTTTGAACCTTTTCATCTTTGGAGTAGACAAGTGGCTTGACACGATCGCAAATGTTGTCCAGGATAAGATCATCCAGATTGCATAACAGAGGAACCTGATCGAGACGGAACATATCAAGATGATTAACGTTTACTGGCGAATACATTACACCAGATTAAGAAATCCCGTGTTCTTGCACCGACGCTAAAACTTTCTTTTTCATATAGAAATTTTTACAATAATTATTGCCTCAGTTAAACACGATGGAAGAGTTAACATCAGTGAAGGCTAACCTTTTTTATGAGACCTAAGCAAAGATAATGCTTAATATCTCTTCTTAAGCCTTCTGGCAAGTCTTTGATAAATTCCATCTCATCCTGCCCTCCCGCCAGCTTCCATCTCTGATTTTCATATCGACGTACTCTGCACTTCAGATTAGATGGTAGTTGTCTGTGCCTCATCCACCACTCAATGCCTCGGTATCTGAGCTGCATTTCTTTTCTCCTTACCATTATAGCATGCAAAAATACCTTGATTGAGAGATAGCTATAATCAACATCTTGTTAATGTGACACTAACCACATTTTTCAGCTTAATTTTAGGTACAGAATCCGCAAAAAACATAAATTGGATATACGAATGACCTGGATGTTCGCGATCAACAAAGTAAAGAGCATTAATCCCCCAAGCACCATAAATATGGTGAAGATCGCTTCCAAACATCTGCATGTGGGTTCAAGATTGTTGCCCATTGTGCTATATAGAAGCAAACCGAAAATTAATTTTAGCATGAAAGAGTATCACCAATAGAATAATCAAGTAGAATTTAGTTATTTCTAGCAAGTTAATGGAATTTAGTTATTTCAAGTTGAGAAGTAGAATGTGTTTATAGGAATTCTCAAACATTTGAGGGCCTTGGCCACAATTGCTAACCTCAGAGCCATTAGACCCCAAAGATTGGAATAGAGGATCTTAGACATAACAGAATTTTTGGAAAAGAGTGGAAGAGCAAATTTATAGAGCCCATAATGAAAGGGTCCGGCATCATCCAAGCACAATGGTTTATGAGTTGTTGTTGAGTTACCGACAGCACATGTACGTCTAGATGCCCAATAACAGACCTCCATTGCACAAGACAATTTTTGATTGCAGGAGGCCTTACTCCTGTCACACTGTTGTGCAAGGCAAGATGCGATGCGTTGTATAGCAAGGATATACCAGTACCCACCTGATACCTGCAGTTAATTAGAGAATATGGCCATGAACTAAGTTCAGCAAGATAAAGGTAACTACGCAGAAAAAATTTAGCAAGAGAGCATGATAATTCCACCTACATGAGAAGCAAGGAAGTATGCTATGAGATTAAGGCCAAAACCCCACCAAATGGTGCCAAAGATGTAGCCAGTAACTTTTCGCATTCTTCTCATCAGACTAAAACTGTGGTATACCTTTGGAAGAAACTGCATCAAGAAGATAATTTGTAGTATTGACAGAGTCAACTGTATTCTATCAGCCTCCAGTAATTTCGGCACGACCAGGAGATAGACTGCCTGACAAAAAAGAAAAAACGAGTAGTTGCTATGAGTAGGATAGACCTCTTTTGATGTTCTTCTGAGCAAGAGTTAGAAACAGCTCCTAATTACTCTTGCTAATCCTTTTAACCAATTATATTCATTATTCTTTCATTTCCAATTAAGCTTCCCCGGGAAGGCATAACTATGAGAAGAGGAAGAAGCCTAGCCAGCCAAAAACATTCCCCCTTCCAACATGTATAAGAGCGGAAATTGGAGGGTGTACCTCTACTAAAGCACCAGGTAAGCTTTACATCTACGGGACATTGATCAGATTTGGCAACAGCCATGGTAAATACAACAGATTACACAACGTAAGAAGTATATTGATGCGCAGTTTTGGATTCTCGTATGAATTGAAAATCTGCCATAGCAATAACAACATTTATGCCGATTAGAAAGTCAATTAACTTGAATGGGTGTAAGAAGATGCAGCAACAGAATTGGACTTGTACAAGAAAGACTTTACATTTTGAAATTGTAAGATAACCAAACGGTGTGATTTTGAGAGTTACATACACTTCTCAACCATGGACTGCATTTTAATGCGACTAACTTCCCAAACCTGATGTTATTTTTTGCTTTCCTTTGTCCCTACGTATAACAGTCCTGAGCCGTCTAAGTTGCCATCTGGGTCTTGGATAGTAAAAGATGCTAACTTACGCTAATCAAACACAACTAGGAAACTCAAACAAAAAGTACCTGCGGAATTGGCAACATGACAAAAACATCCAGCCAGAATCCGGCGGGGGACATGAGGTAGCGAGAAGCGATGGCACGTGGGTCCCATACTAGTTTTCCGCAACCAACCACCAGCGACTCTTTGGACACGTAAGCCAACCGAAACTGAAGCCAGAAGTGACAGGTGTGCACCAGGTCAACGCACGTGCGAATCGCGGAGACAATCGTGGCGACCCCACCGTCCATGTAAATGCACGGCTGATTATCGGCAGCACCACCACCACCCCGGACCCGGATAGACATTGCAAAAAAGAAAAGAGGATCAACGGCCAATGCCACGGCACGAGCCAGTAATATGATCCGGTTCCACCTCTGCACCCTGGCGCTACGCGGGTCCAAAACTCGGCCCGGTAATAGCCCCGGTGGACTCGGGTTGTCCCCCGTCCTCGATTTGCGGTAGTTGATGGGGAGTAGAGATGAACCGGCGGAGGCCTCCCATTCGGGTTGGTGATCCGGATCGCATGTAGTCGAGTGGAAAACCGGGACACCTACTTGGGTGCAGGCATAGCATGCGTACGGATAAATGCTGTCGTCAACTTCCAAGTCGGAGCTGCAAGGATTGAGTCGCTGGAACTGCTTTGCAATCCACCTGAGACGATCAACAGCAACAATTATAATTTATATATATATATATATATAAAACATAACTAATGACGCGTGATCTTGTAATTAAGTTGAATTTATTTGTTTATGGGATTGAAATCGACATTGAAGCGAAATGAGCAGGGGAGTGATGATTAATAAACTTTTGAACTTGGCGATCGCTTGAACAGAGCTGTCAATTATCGAATGGGCCTAGAGGGAGGGAATTAAGGAGGGAGATGAAAATTGGAGTTTAGTGAAAGAGTGATTATATGTATGTATATAGACAAAGCGGGGAAAATCCATTAGCATCCGGCATCGAGGTGGTGGTCAAGTGCTAATTGCTAATGCTATTGCTAATTGCTAGCTTGCAGCTCTTGTGCGTGGGCGCGCGCGTCGGAGAGGAACACAAGTCATGCTATGTTAAAAAGCTCAAAAAGATTCGTTGGGGCCCCAGCCGCCGGGATTACGTGGACTGCCATCTGAGTTCTCCTCTCACTTAACGGATATTTTGTATCGATTTTTTATTATATTGTTATTTCTCTTACATAAATATCATGTTTTAGTTCTTTTTATTTTCTTAAGATTCAATAACTATTGATTGAGTAATACATAAAATTTAACAAACTCAAAAAATCAAAATGCATAAAAAATTAGATTTTTTATGAATTTTCTGCTGTATTTTTTAATTTTCTAGTATATATTACTTTTTTGAAGCTGTTGTATTTATTTTTTACTTATTAATAGTTATTGAATCATAAGAAAATAAAAAAGAAGTAAAACATAATGTTTATGAAGGAGAAATAGCAATATAATAAAAAGTGAGACAGAAAATTCATAAAAAATATCATTTTTTATGCATTTTGATTTTCTGAGTTTGTTAAATTTTGTGTATTACTCAATTAATAGTTATTGGATCTTAAGAAAATAAAAAATATCCGAAACATGATGTTTATGAAGGAGAAATAGTAATATAATAAAAAATGAGATAGAGAGTGACACAGGATATGGGAGAGAAGAGCCGTTGCAATATAATAGTCCTTTTTTTGTTTAATTGAATAAGTTTTCTATTAGTATAACTTTTATTATATGTGACAATTTAGTGGGCTGGATTTTAACCACGGGCTTTAGTATATGGCTACTTTGATGGCCCAAGTTATTGACGAGTAACCGGTCGCAAACAAACGGCCTTAATCGTTGAAAAAGCCATCCCCAACAGCGCAGTTGCAGGCGACCCGAGTCCTGGTTTTGGGCTTTTATTGTCGTTCCTGCTAAAACCTGCGCCTACCAGTTGCAGGCGAGAAGTAAAGATAAACATTGCACTGATGGATGGAGCATCAGAAGTCGAATTCATACTTTACACGAGCAAACGAAATACTTCTCCTCCTTTCGACCTTGTGAAAAAGGTAATAATCCACATCTTGAACGAAGCATACAAATTTATTAGCTTGAAATTGAAAAAACCACAAAAAAAAAGAATTGAAATCGCAGCACTTGCTGTTTATTCAAGATGATCGTGTGGTCTGATTGACATGAACACTGCAGCATACTGTCTCAGGCGAGTATCAGCATCTCCATTTTCCATCACATGGTTCAGTGGAGGCCTTGTTCTTGTCCTGTGACGTCGCCAAGCAAGCTGTATATTCACAGCAGCCCAGGTCCTCCAATTGGAGGAATAATATCGAGCTGTTCGTTTAAGTCGTTCGTTGTTGAATTTGTAACGGAAGTGATCGGTTATGTACCGCAGATCGTGCGCATAAAGAGCAAATGCTTCTGTTGATTCAAGACAGGTGAACGTTGCAGAGGAAGCTGGAAGTCTTTCTATGAAAGGGCGGCGCAGGCACCATGAAAGAAGTTCATCCCCCAAGAAGCCCCCTGGTTCGAGTAAGCTTGTGGCTACCATCCCTTTACTGAGTCCTTGATGACTCTTCACGCGTCCGCGAACAATGAATACGATTCGCTGCACAGGGTCTCCTTCCCTTGTTATCTGTTGTTTATCACAGGCTCAAACAAAAAGTGTTGAGAAAATCTGAGTAACAGCAACTCAAAATTTCTTGACTGAGAACTACAGCCCGGATCGTTGAGTTGACTAACTTCGTACCTTTTCATCTCTGGAGAAGACGAGGGGATGAACGCGGTCACAGATGTTGTCAAGGATGAGATCATCCAGACTGTGGAACAGAGGACCCTGAAATATGAGGTACATAACATCAGCAGCGCTTAACGTCCCTTCTTTGTACCAAAATTCTTACTGCTAGATAATACCTTCTTTATTAAGTCAAGACAGAGAAAGCGCTTAATGTCCCTTCTTAAGCCTTCTGGTAGATCCTTAATTAGCTCCATTTCATCTTCTCCACCCATGGCTCTCCACCTCTGGCGTTCATAGTGACGAACTCTCTGCCTCAGTTGAAATGGCAATTGCCTTCGCTTCATCCACCACTCCAAATCTCGGCATCTCAACTGCATCTTCCTCTTCCTTACC